ACAGGCTTGTCATAGGAGGGATGTCCTTTTTATTTGATTCCAAATTTACTACTTCTGAAGTCATTCTCAAGAAGTAATTTTTATGATCCTTTTTTGCAAGTTATTCGAAAGTGAAATTGTATTATTATAGAATGCAACTAATTTGCCTTAAATAATTTTAAAACTATAAAGGGTAATAGATACATGTAATAAAACAGAAGCCGAAAAGTAAAATGTTTTATCTCCCAAGAATGTAAGAACAAAAAAATATCTTCAGCTTTGAAAAAATATAATTATTTTCCAATCTTCGGAAGTCTTTAAACATCACTTCCTCAGAAGGTTAAAAAATTCACTTAGTGCTACTTTTAAAGTGGTGATAAATGGTATTCTTTTGGAAGTACTTCGTTTTAATTTTGCTGGAATGCTTTCTATAAATCTGAGTGATAACAGTAAAGGTAAATTAAATTGTTCTGAATGTAGATAACATGTTTCAAAGAAAAGGTTCATTTATGATCTAACCTGATATTCGAAGGATTGAACGTTATATTTATTATAACCTATTGGTCCTACACCCACCTTAAAGTATACCGATCGAATCAGAATCGCTTTCTGAGTCGTCGTTTGACATTAGCCCCCATTAAAAAATATCTTAAACGTCCAAAAATTTACTTATAACCATTAGTATCGCGATGACATTCAGCATAACTAACCTTTATATAAAATTACATGCCTCTTCCCAAATGTTTGAGGATCGGCCCATATTTGACCCTAGCTCCCATATAAAGCCTCTTTTAGAAATTTAGTTTTTCATCAATAAATTGCTTAAATACATCGGAATTAAGGTAAAATTCAACAAATTTTTTATGAAAAATAAATAATTTATCTTCTGTCGATTAATTTTCACAAGATTAAACAATTTTCTTCACAAACATGAAGATTTCAGATTTTCATGTATAAAATAATTAAATTTATGTAATCCCAAAATCCCGTAAAATCCCGAAATCCCGAAAAATCCCGGGATCCCGAAAAATCCCGGGATCCCGAAAAATCCCGGGATCCCGAAATATCCCGGGATCCCGGGATTGCAATTTTCAAAATCCCGAATCCCGGGATTTGTAAAAGCCAGTCCCGTTTGGCATCCCTAATATAAACGGCAAAATTAAATAAATTAAAATTTTATAGAATTTTTATTTTTTAAATACACTGTGGTGAAGGGTATATATGATTCGGCACAGCCGTTATTCATATAATTTGAGTTCTCGATTATTTGTAAGTCAATTATAAATGTAAAATGTGATATGGGCTGAGGTCAAATGTGGTCTGATCCACATTGAATTTGATAGGGGTTATATAATAAACAATACTTTTTCAGGCTTATACTAGTTTAGTTCATTTATCGCTTAAATATAATTTTTAAGAATGTTTTGTGTATTATAGTCATTTTCTGACAGAGATTGTTATATGAAAACTAGAGTCAAAATTGGACTAAACTTAACAAAACATTACAGTATGATTCTTGGTCACTTAAAGCAGACTTTTGTTAAATATGTTCACTATTATTTCATAGTAAACGTACTTTCTAGCAATCAAACATTTTCCGGATTTTCCAGGAGATTAGATGTAATTATGAACCGATATTAGCCCTTTCCAATAAGGTTTGTATTTATGACAAATAGAACATATGTTATATGTATACCAAATTCAGTATAATTATATTATTAAAGCCCCCTTCACACGAGCACACAAGTAATATGATCTGTCAAAATTTTGTGTAGAAGAGAACGGATGGGATCGTCTAAACGCAATATGTAATGAAACCATCACACATTGAGAGAAAATACGGATGGAAAATTTGACAGTCGTATGGCTCTCTTCATTTTTTGAAATGATTCAAAAAACAAGCAAGTCGCATTAGATCAGGGATGTATTTTTATGTAAAAACATACAAAAAAAGTGAAACAGCTGTTCCATCTTACTTTGTTATTGTTTTATACCAATCGTGTAAACACAAAAAATATAAATCATAAGACTTTTATTCTCTTTTTTGTCATACGGATGAAATTTCATTTTACTTTTTCATTAGACTTGTCGTACGTAAAGTGTGACCGTGTGAATGGCCCTTAATTGCTTTCAAGCTATACACACTAAACCATTGTTAGGCCTTTTTGGTTTTAGAAAATTCGTATTTAAAAAGACGTATCCCACACAACTTACAGAAACAGCTGAAAAAATATTTATTCGTCCAAAAATAAATGTATCATTTTTTTAGATGCTACTATGAAAAAATCATATTTATAATCACTATAGTTTTCGTTTTATTCAGTTTTTTATCTCTCCTGTTAAGTTTTGAAAAGTGTTGTTACGCCCTTTTGCATTTCAGGTGACGATATGTATGTACATAGTTTAATCGAATTAATTTCATAGTATTTTCTTCTGTTATGTTTTTGAACCAAAGAAAATTATCAGACTATTGCAATAATAATCGGGTTTTCTTTTTGGAGGAAAGTATCCTAATTTTCAAAGTACCACTCTAGGGGGTTTTTCCTTTTTTGAATTTCGGGTAGTGCGTATCAGATTAAAGACATTTGTTACAAAGCTCTAGTATAAGAATATATAAGATAGATCGGATAATGTTTAGCCGTGCTACACCAGCTCAGATGTTTTAAATATGGGCAATTTTGTGTCAAGTGAGCCAACTCAAAAAACCGATTTGGATGAAATTCAACTTTAAGAATACGTACCATCATACTAACCTCAGACTTCTTCATTTTGAGGAGGCTTCTCGTCCTGCTCTCGTTAGGGTCACACCATAGGATCTTTGTGGTTCTTGTGGTTCTACCCACGGTTTCATTATTCCAAGAGGCCTTATGGGTTTTTCTCACCCATAATTTTAATTCTGCCCTCGTTGAGTCAAATGTTTGCCGACTACTCCCTGGTACCCATATGATGTGAACCTTACCTCTGGGAGAGTATTCGGTTAGTGCTTCTTTACAAATACGGTTTTACATTTAACTTTATCATCTGATATCGACCTACTTGCCTTCTGGCTGTCGGTAAATAAGTTAAGCCCTGTAGGCGCCATATTAATTCTAATCCAATTCACGCATTCCGTTATTGCTCGGACTTCTGCCTGGCTAGTATTGTGATCAGGTAAGGTGGTATATTTCTGTTTCTGGGTCTTCAATATAAAAACCCAGGCCCACTTTGTCCCCCAATTTAGAGCCATCCGTGTAGCAACGGATTCCTACTGGTATTTGCTCTAAAGTTCCGCTTGACCAAGACATTCTATCTGGGATCAGCGTTTCAAAGTTTTTGCCTCTGGTATGCGATCGCGCACGTCCGATGATTGTGTATATCCTTCTAATGTGTCCAGTATACATTGATGATGTGTCCTATAACCGCTTTTGGTCAGTTCGCCTAAAGTTATGAGCCGTTCGGCTGTAAGTGCCGCCTCATATCTTATATATGTTTCAATGGGTGGAATATCTAGCATTGTTCCTAGAGCCTTGGTTGACGTAGTGCTCATGGCTACACTTATACCCAAGCAGCATGTACGCTGAACTACCTGTGGTAGTTTGATATTACACATTTTTTCCAAAGTTTTGAAGCATAACTTAGGATTGGTCTAATTACACTTTTATAGAGCCAATGTGTCATAGTTGGACTAAGACCCCATTTCATGCCTATGGTTCTTCTACATAGCGCTCAGCACCGATGTGCCTTGTTAATCCTTTCCTCTCCTTACCTCCATCTTAATTTCCGGTCAAGTATTACACTTAAGTACGTAATTTTGTCTGTTACAGGTATCTTCTTGTCCAGGAAGCAGGATTCAATATACTCAGAAATTTGTGTCTTTCTTGTGAAAAGACATATTCTAATAATTCTATTGTTTCAATAAAAAATTACACTATGATACAAAAGTGAAGAAAATAAAATACAGGTGTTCTCATATACCAATTACATTTCGTTATAGTCCATAGAGTACGAATAAATTTTTAGTTTTCTCCTATCACTTCGTTAACTAACTTTTTAAGAGCAAAAAATGCGAAAAAAAGTAATTTTTTAAGTTTTAATTTTGAAAAATCATAAGTTTGGTAGTTTTCAACCGATTTTTAAATCTGATATTTTTCTTTAAGGATACAAGTGTTACATTTTAATCCAAGAAGAGAAATATAAAATTTTATAGTCAAATATCTGAGTTACGGTCGTTTAAGTATAAAAACTCACACTTTTTTTTAACAATTTTTAATTTTCAACAAGATCTACTTTGGGCATGAGACAGTAAGTTCATCTTTTATTACCTTCGTAAAGAATAACATTAAGGAAGGTTTCCAAAACTTGTCATTTCATAAAAATTTATGAAAAACTGGATGGGTTATGCTAAGTTTTCTAATAGCATGTTCCTCGAATTTTTTCATTTTTCCATAATAATTTTCCAAAAAATGTTTATAAATATTTTTTAAACTTGTTACAAAAAAAAAATATCTCTTTTTCACATCTTTTACTTTTAAAAAGTAACTAAACGAAGTGATCGAGAAAAACTAAAAAAATATTCGTACTTTATGGACTTCAACGAAATGAAATTGGTATATGAGAACCCCTGCATTTTTTTCGCGTATCACTGAGTTATTTGTACTTTTTTAATAATACTCACTCGATAGTTTTTATTTAAACATTTCGAAAATTTAATTTTTAGTTTTTATGATTCATATATTATTTTAAGAGCATAAAACATTTTTCGAACATAACTTCGAATATTTGGACATAATATTGTCACTAGATGTACGCATAACTACTAAATTTCAGCAAATTCGGAAGACAATCACAGCGTTAAAGACATTTCACAAATTTACTATTAATCTCTGTTCAATAAGTAATACCTAACAATTATTGTCTCTTGTATTTTCAATTATAAATTATAAACATATATATGATTATAAATTAATATACATAAATTATTAAAATGTTTCATGTCTCAGGTTTTACTATCACATGAATAACCCCATAATATAGATACTTGCCTTTCTGAGTAATTCAAGAGTTTTTTTAATTCTTAAAACCAATAAGTTAAAACGATCTAATTCTTGAAGAAGTACGACACCAGTTGGTGTTAAACTCATTTGAATTTGCTTTTTCACACGCCATGTTTCAAACGCTGTTGGTAATTTGTCCAATATATCTGATGCAACGTTGTCAATAAATTCGTCACGGGTTATGCCTCCAGAAGTATCGCCTGTTAAGAAATATACAAATTTAATGGGATAAAATGTTTTATTGTAACATACATACATACATACATACATACATACATACATACATACATACATACATACATACATACATACATACATACATACATACATACATACATACATACATACATACATACATACATACATACATACATACATACATACATACATACATACATATATACATACATACATACATACATACATACATACATACATACATGCATGCATGTATGCATTTTTTCTCTATGGGGTTTTCCTTCCAAGCAAAATATTTTTTTGCAGGATTATATACATAAGACTTCCAGCCTATATATATTGCAAAATTGTAAAAGTTTTTAAAATTAAAAAAGTGTGTCACTAACTAATTTTTTCACTTTCTTTTTATTTTTTGTCAATAGCTTTAATATAGCTTAGCAATAGCAATAGCTTTTGTATATTCGTTATTGTACTAACTAAAGACGCTTAGGAGATAAAGTCTTTGAAAGCTTATCCGTGTAACATCGCTTTACGTATTAGAACTTGGTTGTTGACATTTGTCACCAGGTTTTTCCAATTTTGAATTTTTTAAATTTTTTTAACTTAATCAAATACAGAAATTGAGATAGCAGTGGTTAACGGATGTAATTAGATGTTGTGGTACAACAGCCACAAAAGTTTAAAACTTGAACGTAATTCTTTTAAAATATCAGTTTCGAAATTTATATTCGAAAATTATTTGAATTATTGCTTAAATTAAGTTTTTTGTTATTTTCAAATATACAATCGGAGGAGGAGCATGCAAAAATATTCGAATGCAAAAATTTTGCAAAATTATATTTTTTTTATTTTTGTGGTATTATATGTATATCATACAAGGATTTATGCAAACATTTAACATAACATCATAAATGTATATAAAATGTCCTTGTAAGCTATTAAGATGTTACTTTTACCTAACCACATTTTGCCAAAGCACATCATGGATGATGCTCAAAATTCGTCAAATTTCTTAATACTTTAATGTAAAACTGGGGCGCGTCAAGAAAATAAAGTAATTGTTGGTTTTGTGGGCCAAATAAAATGTACCTAGCTTCAAAAAGCATCACTCTATAAATATTTAATTCCTTTAAATTATAATTTTTAATTGCATTCCCTTATAAATCAACCTCGTAGAAGTTTTTTCTTAAATTTTACTAATTCGCGATTTTTCAAAAACTATAACCAATTTAAAAAAATACTGAAATTAAATTTCTTACTGTGTATTTTTAAAATTTCTTAAAAAAATCTTCTTATTTTTACAATTATGTTTATTTTTTTTTTTTTTAAATATAACATATTCTAATATAATTTAGGTGAAACCGCTATAATTTTTGCGCCCCTCGATCGAAATGATTAACGCGAACGGATTCATCACGTGTTAGGGCCTGTTTATATTCACACAAAATTTTTTTTTGATTTTTTTAACTCTAAAATTAAAAAAACTTTGATAATTGCTCATATGTATCTGATATACGTAGGGGAAGATCTTAAAGCAATATTTTTTTTTTCAAGCTAAACAAAAACAAAATATTTTATAAAAAAATTTAAATATTAGAAACAAATTGTAAATCATTAATATACACACACAGAAAAAACTGAAAAACGATTTCAATTACCAAAACCTCGTTTTGAATTATTTTATTTATTGAAGTTCAACCTATAACAAAAATTGTATATTCAATTACTACTTATAATTGATTTCGTATAAAAAATTTTTGGTTTTTTTATATTTTTGTTGTAGTTAAATACGTATTTGATTACACATTTTTATGATTCAAATACAAAATGAATTGAACCCTTTTAAAATTTTCGATTAATCGTTTAATTGAAAATTTTTTAAAATTAAGTTTTTCTGTGCAGAAAAAACTGAAAAACGATTTCAATTACCAAAACCTCGTTTTCAATTATTTTATTTTTTGAAGTTCAACCTATAACAAAAATTGTATATTCAATTATTACTTATAATTGATTTCGTACACAAAATTTTTATTTTTTTCTATTTTTGTTGTTGTTAAATACGTATTTGATTATACATTTTTATGAATCAAATACAAAATGAATTGAACCCTTTTAAAATTTTTGATTAATCGTTTAATTGAAAAATGTTTAAAATTAATTTTTTCTGTGTACGCTATAAATAAAAAATTAAGTGGAAATTTTTCTTTGACGTAGTAAGTATTTATACAATAATTAACAATTATATCCATGTTTTCCAATCTTTATTGAAGAAAACAAAACATTTGCTGTGAGGAATATATTTTGGGAGGGTGGATATTTTTCAGCGGAAAAGCATTGCAGCATTAAGAATGTAATTATAATTTTTCAAACATGTAATTGTAATTTTTCATTAAATTTTAATTAATAATATAATGCATTTTTTGAATTGTAAATTTAAAGATATTTTAATATTTCTCAATAAAGATAATCAAGCGATATCTTATATTTATCGTCCAGAAGAATATCACAAGATATCTTAATTTTTTCTCATATGTGATTATCTAGGAATTGCTTTCGTATTGCTTAGAAGTTTCGTTTCTATCGCACAAATATGCTTGTTCCGAATTACTAATTTTATTTTAACTGTTAGTAAACCTCTTTACCTCTTGCCTCTTGCGGTTCCATTTGCAACTGTTTTTCACACACACAGAAAGAAAATAGCTTATTTGTAAGTACTTATATAAGTGCGAGAGTGGTAAGTACTTGCCTCCAATGTCATCACTGTGTTTAAATAATGAGTAAAAATGCTAATGAAGCGGCTTTTTTAGCTTTTTATCTCATTACTTTACAATGTGAGTTTTTGCTGGGTACATATATTATCTTTATCCTAAAACGCGACCTTAGTAGTTTTTTTACGTACTATTACTAAAAATAGTAAAAAATCTAAATATTTTGTAATTTACCGTTTTTTGATGGTGTCCATTTTTCAGCTAAAGTAGCGTTTGCATGAAAAATTTATAAAATATTAAGTACATATAGTACATACATATGTTTATGCATATCTAAAACAAATTATCTACAAATATGTAGTTAAAAATATACATAAATTATTCTTCATATTATTTAATTGTCTTTGCATTTAAAATAGTTTTTTACTAAATTCTGTATATTTTCGCATATTTTGTGTACAAAATTAATACTGGAAGCAATAAGAAAGATGTGAGTTTTAGTGGTTGGTGCGACTGCTGAAATATTCGTGGAGTATATTATTTACATATTTTTTAAAAGTATTTAAATATTCCTGGGCGGTAATGTAAAGTACTTTTGGTGCTGTCATTTGTGTTGTTGCTGCATACATAAATGCATATGTACATACATACATATATATGTATACATTAGGGTGGCCTCGTTTCAATGAAGAAAAAATAAGGTACTTACTTTCCCACTAAAAACGATAGCTTGCTTTATTCTAATATAAAGGATAAAAAGTCTGTTTTTAAGGTTTTTCTCATTTTTTTCATAGTTCACGCTAAAGAATGATATGAAATATTTCCAGCACTAAAATGTATTATTCGTCATTGAAAGCGCATTTCACAAAATTCCCTATCGTAACTTTGCGTGATATAAATATTGAAAAATCCTTAAATAAAGAGCTTTTTTCCACCAAATATTGACACCAGGACAAAAATTTTGATAAATGGCATCTTAAAATGAACCAAGATTTTCTCCATACAAACGGGCCACCCTAATGTGCATACATACATATGTATGTCCAGATTAAACAGAGTTACCATATAAATATTTAAAATATATTTTTTATCTTTACCATGATACAACCATAGAAAGGTAGAATCAGTAGGGAGAGTTGTCAATTCTCTGCCTTGTTAAGTCAGACAAAAAATAACTAAAAACAGAAAAACTTAAAAATCTTCAAATGAAAACCACGAAAAATACCATGAAATGATTCTTGAACGGCACACGCAAACAGCATTCCACACTTCTGTATCTTATTGGTTTTACAATATTTTTGATTCAAATTATTCAATTTTATTATCTTAACAAAAAATTTCCAATAATTTTTATTTGATGTTTTTCTTTATATTTTTTAATTTTCTTTTCTGTGACAATTCAAGGCATGTAAAATTGAGAACGTACTTTTCTACTGATTCTACCTTATTATTGTTTTATTATGATCTGTACTACATATACAAATTTGTTAATCTTCACATAATATTTAATTATTTTCCAACTCGAATATACAAATATTTTGGAATATGTATCTACTCAAAATTTCAGACCAAAAACAATTATAAATCCTTATTTAGGAATGAAGTCCTCTCCCATGGCTACACTGTAAGTGATATTAAGTGCAGGAACGAATGGATGAATATATGAACGTCTGTAGTGCTTTGTATAATTGTAGTGTTTGTGTGCAATTGTAGTTGATGGTGGCGTTGGAATAAAAATGTGCAATAAAGTTAATTGCAAAACCACAACTAATTAATTAAATTTAATTCAATTGAATTTTAAAAATAAAATATGTATGAATTTGAACTTGTTTTTTTTTAGTATTTTTTTTTTCTTTTTTATATTTTTTAGGTATTTTAATTTATGTATGTTGTTGAATTTGCTAATGGGTGGCTAATAAGTATATACATAGTTACAAATTAAATAATATTACAGTAAAATATGCATTTAGCATACGAAAAACTACAAGAATAGTATATATTTATAGGTTTGAATTATTGTGAGTACATATTAAATGGATTATACATATTAAAAAGCCATTCGGTTTTCTGATGACAGGTTACCAGATACGTTAATAAGCTTTAATTGCACTTACCAGTTTGAGGTTGTAATTCAATGAGAGAATTCCATATACTACGTGTAGCTTGAGTGTAATATCCGATTTCTGCGTTTGGGTGTAAACCAAAGACATCTGGTTTATTTACTAAGGGCAATTTATCGATATGTGCTATAACAATTTGAAATTCGTTATATAAAATCGAAATACATTTTTATTATATTCTTAGTCAAACCGATAAAATCTTCCTTTAATATGACGTCTTCGCTTGGAAGGCAATAGTCCGTATTATCATCCTTATAGAAGTGAAATGGTTGAAATGAATCGAAAAGGAAATCTCCCATGTACTCATTCATGTAAGTTCGAGTAATACGTCGATCGAAATCGTCTATAACACGCCCGCCATACATGACCTTTTTTGATGACATATTCAGTACTAGACCAACAAAACGATGTAATTTTGCACTTACCTCTCCAATCAAGTATTTTAGACTGTTCCACGGCACGTTACCGTCTTTGATTCGGTTTAAATATGTTTGCAATATTTCCAAGCATACATTGAAATCGGATTCATTGAAATCGTAACAAATGTTCCAACCCAATTTATCGTATTTTCTTCTTTCCTAAATAGGACAAAATAAATTTCAAATATGTAGCTGACATTATTGTATGGAAACAGAAAAATAAAATGGATATTGTTTAATTTAGTAAATGACAACGAAAGCATATTTATTATTCCGACTATATTTTCAAATAATTGCTGCATTATGTTTAAAGGAATTCTATACATACATATGTACATAAAAATGCATCCCTGATCTATATAGAAAAAAAAATAATTCAATAAATGCAGCAATTTGTTAAAGCTAGTTTACATGAGCAAACAAGTAATATGATCTGTCAAAATTTTATGCAGAAGAGTAGGGATAGGCTCGTCTAAACGTAATATGTAATTAAACCATCACAAATTTAGAGAAAATACGAATGGAAAATTTGACGGTCGTATGGCTCTCTTCATTTTTTTAAATGATTCAAAAAAAAAAAAAAAAAAAAACAAGCAAGTAGCATTAGATCAGGGATGCATTTTTATGTTTCATCTTACTTTGTTATTGTTTTAATAGTATAAATATACAAACAATATACATATGTAAATCATAGGACTTTTATTCTATCGGTTTATTCGTTATTTGAAATTTGACAATTTTCATTTATTCGGACGATTAATCGTTAAAAATTGATCGATGATTGATAATAATTATAATTATAAAAAATGGAGTATGCAGAATTGCTCTAAATGGACTCTAGTTTGTTTATTTTTTCAATAAAAATATTTTTGGAAAAAATACCTTTATGCCTAAAAAAAAAATACTTTTTTGGTTTGAGTTCAGTACCATTTCAAAGTTTCCATTTTCCATGCCTGATTTCAGTCCTGATGCTAAATTATTCAATAGTTTTTGCAGAACCTGTTTTTACAATCTTGGTAATTCTTTCTGGGGTTGTTATAACATTGTTGGCGAATATTATATTAATAAATTACATTAATAGTTTTTTGTTAAATATTGATGTCTTTTTTGTAAAAAAGATTTAGCCAATGTTTTTGGCTTTTTTTATATTTGTTATCCATTTTTTGGGATGATTTTAGCCATTTTTGGTCACCAAGAGTTGGAACGCCATTCAAACCACCTCTTTAAAATTTCAGATCATTCCTTTGCTTCGTACAAAAAAAAAAGAAAACCCTTAAAAAAGGACCTGAGATAAAACCTTTTATCCTTTAACTCAGCTTAAAAAATATTGAAGTAATCTTTAATTTTCATTGGGAAATCAATACTTCATTTATTCTACAAACTAACTGTGTCACCCTAATAATGTGTAGCAATTATAGGTATGAAAATAAGAAAATGCAGAGTTAGAAAAAAATTAAATTATACTAACTTGAACTACACCATGGAAAAAAGCCAAGACGTAGACTAATGGCAAAAATGCTCGATGTGTACAGCTTTCTAGACGTTCTTGACGAAGTTTAAAGAATGTTGAACGAAGATTCAATTTTAAACCATTTGGGGGTTCTGTTACAACTAAAATAAAAAACGAAATATAAATAAATAATTTTCTTACAAAAATTCTTAGATTAATTAAAAAGTAATTAATTGCAACATAATCTTTATCAGTGGAAAGCAAGGTTTTGAATAGTAGGATATTTAACATAATTATAAACTCAAAATCTTTATTCCGGGGTTAAAGTTGTGAAATTGGGGGCCAGGTACAATAATGGACCAATTTCAATCATTTAAAATAGGATTCCTTATTTCTATAGCATGCTTACACAGACGGACGTACATAGAAGGCCATATAGACTCAGAAAGTCATTCTGTGGCGACTGGTACAGTTTAATGTATCAGTTAAAATATCATTGTTGAAAACAACTAAAGATATGCCAAATGATCTTTAAACAAAATGTATAAAAAATGTATTTTAATTCTCTACATACATATGTACCTTAGAGTGTCCCGAGGAACAGCCTTCTTAAGAATTTCAAGTAGAAATACCACTCAATCGATGCGTATTAATGCACTGAATATGAAAAAAATAAAAATAATGATTTTTTTGGAATGGTCCTCAGTTCCCTACCAGCGACTGAAAATCCCGACCTCAGTGTAATTTTTGAAAAAAAAATATTTTTGATTTTTTCAAAATTGGTTTCAAAAACTCCGTAATTTTAAGGTGATTACGGGAAAAATAATTTTAAAATTTTTGTATAATATTTTTGTTCCACAAACTGATTTTTAGTGAGTTCGTTGTTTTCGCTTTTTATCGAAATCGGTGTCAAAATTGTCGTAATTTATACATCCTATTCGAAAAGATAGCAGAAATTTTTTTTGAATATGTTGTACTGAGATCAAGGTTTTCAATCGCAGGTAGGGAACTGAGGACCTTGGACAAAATTCGGATGTACTAAAAAATTATGTTCCATATATAACTTGTATTGTGACAAATTTTGGGTCTTATAACTTTCGCGTTCGAAAGTTTTTAATCAGAAAATTTATAAAAAATCTAAGGAATTATACTTTTTGCACCATTTTACTAAACAAAAAACATACACTTTGGTGCATTATATTAAATTGCGAAATTAAGCTCAATCTTCTTCCTATAAAATCAATGATTAAAGGATGATTTTAAATTTATTTTGCAGTTTCTGCTCTGGAAAAAATTACACTCAAAATCAATGGTTTTATCCGCAGATATGCAGATGATGGAGTTGGAATTTTTTAAAAATTATTACAATCATGATCACTGATACAAAAACCTTTTAAAAAAGCATGATATCACAAAAACGAGAAACATTTTGTTTATTGAAACGATGCCTAATATACATACATATACACCCTCTCTCTCTTAAATAGGTTCACTCTTTTGTTTACATTCAAATAATTTTTTTATTAAAAATGATAGACTAATTAGCGAGGCAAGAATTTTTTGTCTTTTCACCTATTGATCCTAACAAAAATTTCCAAAGTATTTTAGATAGCTATTTCTTTACTGTTTACAAAATTTGTTTTAATTCTTTGTAATTTATTTTTTTTTAATTTAAATTTTTTAATAATTTTTTTTAATTGTAAAAATATGTATGTAATACAAAAAAACACAATTTGTGTTCGAAAAATTAAAAAAAATATGCAAAATATGCTATAAAAATGTTATAAATATACAAAATATATGCAATTTATGCATTTATAACAAAATATGCAAAAATATGCTACAAAAATCGATGTTACAAATTCTTTGATTCGAAAAGAAAACTAGTTGAAAGTTATTTTGAGTAACTGATTACAAAAATGCATTTGCATACAATTAGTTTTGTATGCAAATAAATAATTATTAAAATTTTAAATAATTATTAAAATTTTAAATATTAATAATTATTAAAATTTCAAATATTACATTACTAGAAAGATAAAAATTAGTGCAATATTTAATATTTTTTTAAAATACTATATTTTTGAATAAGACTATGCTGAATGATATTATTTTTATTGATATAAATTTGCAAAAATATAGATTTGGTACAATCTGATTAAAAAATTATACTTTTAAATGCTGGTTTGTACAATTTGAAAATTGTATTTGCCATTCCTGTCACATACTGATTCATTTATTTAAATCAGTGTAGGAAATTTTTTAATCATCATTTATGTATGTTAAAAATTAAATAAATAAAAATTAATAAAATAAATTAAATTATAATTACCTTTTAAAGACTTTTGCAATATGCCAATTGGAAAACTGTCACTAGCATCAGTTGTAATCCATAACCGAAAGTCCGGATGTGGTGAATCTACTTTCTCCAAATATTTTTCCAATTGCCGTACAAAACTAATTAACAAATGACCGTTTTGTAACATTAGCCACATTCCTTGTCGAATAGATTTATCTAATAAATTCATGGCGGCCTGAAAAATATATTTAATTAATAGTGTGTATTTTTGTTGTTTGTATTGTGGCTTTAAGGACGAGAAAAAAGAGAATAGAAAAACCGGTCAACCGGTTTAGGGAATCTTAGCTTATTCTAAAATCCCTTCGCATTTTAAAAGTTCAGGTAATTCTCATGGACAATGCAACACTTCCAATAACTTTCAACCCCTAATATAATATAATCTTAAGATACTTATAATATACATATAACCTTATTAATCTCGAATGGTTTTTACAACTAAAAGCTTCTTTAAAAAAAATTGTAAAACTTTGTCGGACTGTGTTATTATTCACTTCAAAATTTAAGTATCTGTTGAATACAAAGCAAATAAAAGTATTCGAAAACGTGATTTTCAAACCGGGTTATTCGATATTCGATTCAAATTATTTAAGTAAAAATCATTTTATAACTGCTATTCTGAGTGATTTGTTTTTATAAACAAAAATAAATCACAATTTAATCACTTTGGTTATGTGGCCGATTTATTTTACGTTTCGTGTTTAAAACACACCGTAAATTCTAATTTACAATTGAGTGTGAGCCAAATGGTAGCAAAGTTATATGGTGGACTAAAATTTTTACATTTTGCTGTGCCAAACGATATCTTTTCATCTATAAAAATTGTCACTGATTAAACCCGATTATATATATAAAAAAAGTTTTTTAATGTCTTTCAAGAATTTTATTAATCTCTCTCTTTTTTAATATTTCTAATTATATTTTAAAATAATTTATTTTCATTTGTCCAAAATTTATATAGCCATTGAGTTAGTAACATTTTATTCACCTCATAACTAGCTTTAATTGTATGCGGATTTTTTCTGAATTTTGAGCATTTACACACGAAAATTGAAGAAATCTAACTAAAGAATCATTCAAGTCTACATGAATCATTTTTGTACGTTTATACCAGTATCAGTGTGAATCTAATAAACTTTATGATGATGTTTCAGTGCAAGAGAAGTGAAGTTTATTTAATGTAAATTGAGTTTCTGTTGTAGGCTCAATCATCCACACACACATTGCATAAATATCGAACCGAATGAAAAATATTGGATTGAAAGTTCGTGACTGAATTGATAGTTGATTATCATTGGATTTACTGTAATACTTAAACAGATACTACGTACTTGTGCGTACCTTGCAGTACGACGAACTAGTTCGTCAACGGTGATTTTTTGAATTTTCAACGCACTAACAATGTTATTTACTGGTGAATATAACATGGGGATGTCATTGCGTGGGCAATTGATATCCTATGCATAATTTGTTGCCATTAATATCACTAGTTCAACATAGAATTTATATACAAATGGACACTTTCAACATTATATGTAGTCAGAAATTTGCCATGCAGCCACTTTAAGCACTACCTGTGACTACTAAAGTGACATCTTCTAAAGATTTATTTTCATAAACATCATGAGACAATTTATCAAACGTGAACTATAATGTTGAAATGCAGTGAACGTTTCGACAAAATATCGACCAATTTCTTTGCCAGAGGTAACTAGTTACTTGGATATGCGGTATTATAACTAGTGAAACGTGTCACCTTTCGTACTGTAGGGTAAATATAGAAACTCTAAACATGGTACAACAATAAATATGTTGGTATGACGAGGAAAAGCTCGTCGGTGTTATTGCAGATATGTATGTGTATGTAGTAGTTGATTCATGTTATGAGCAAGATGTTTAGTTTTGTTTCTTCTTCAATTGACATGGTGTACAATTGTTGGAGGGATGAATGTTTTGTTCTTTAGGTTTAATGAATGTGTGAATGGTTGGCAGTTAGATTTCCCCTAGTTTTGTTTATTTGTATGTATGTATGTTGTACTCGGGTTGTTTATCTATTGTTTATTTGCTTTGCAGCAGAAAATTGACACAATAGGCGACGTGCGTTGTCCATGTTTTTTTGTAAATATGTAGAACATTTATGTGTGTTTGTTTGGATGTTAATGAGTTTGGAAATAAACTGGCTATACTCAATAAAATAAAACTTCTAACAAAAAGACAATATTATTTGTGTTACTTACCTTTTCCTGTCCTTGTCCCAATGATATGTGGCAAAAGTTACCCAAACCACCGCCAACTTGTTCCGCCAATTTCATCAAATCATTTGTTGGATCCGAACCGGCACTTAATATGAAGCATACTGGAATAAAGCATGTTGTTTGTTCGTATATGGCGGCAAAACTTACAACGGGTGGCATTATAAAGAACTCATCCATGGTGTCGACAATATACTGATTTATCGAACGGAAAATTCGATCGATACGGAAACAACGTAAAAACATTAACTTCTGCAGAAAGAAACAATAAACACTTGTTTATTTTATTTTCATGCCATGGGAATGATGTTAATATAGTAGTGATAATGATGTTAATATAATAGTTTTTTTTATTGATGATTTACTTGCCTGGAAGGGATTGCAACTTATGTTGAATTCGCCCGGACATGGTACTTCTTCAGGATTTTCTAAATCATACCACTATAGATTATTAAAAGAAATGATTAGCATGAAATGTATATATTTATAATAAATAATAATCCTTGCAAATTACCTCTTTCCATTCTTTTGTAAATTTTAGGACATGATCGGGCAAAGTTTCAAACGGGTCTGGAAAGTCTGCAGCTAACCTTAATATATCTTCCCAATTTTTTTCCGATAGCCACTTTGCAGGACAAGTTCGATCACTTTTAGTTAATAGTACTGATCCTTTTATAAAGAAGTCTAATTCCGCTTGACTTAAGATACTATCTCTCAAAGCAAGTTTTGTTGCAATTTGAAAAGAAAATAATAGTTTATGTTTTTCAAATATACCGGTACAACCATAGCAATATATGTTCTCTGTCAAAGTTTTAATAATATTATTTAAACGTTTTGCCAGGACCGTATCGGGTACAGATTTCCGCAGCGAGAACGTAAACACATCTAGATATGCAGCTAACGCGTACTGATACATTGCGTTGACAGTAGACATGTCAGAGAGCGCAAAAAATAGGACAGCTCCTCTTTTCGCGGCTGGTCTGTAACCATCTCGTAGTTTCTCAATATCTCTTTGTGTTTCGGCTGAAAGTTTCAATTGTTCTAATACAATGGCTGCTTTGGATTTTGTGTTTTCAAGAGTTTCAATTAATTCAACATTATCCAACATGTTGCCTGTAGATGTTGCCAATTCTCTGAGCAGAGAATCTTCCAATTGCTGCAGCAACTGCTTATTTTCACTTGTTTGGGCTATTAATGTTTCTCTTTGCGCTTCTAAGTCAGGTCTCTCCGCTCTTACAACAACGCTGAGAAGTTGATCCTCCAGGCCTGTTTGGGTAACGGTATAATTAATAACCATCGCCTTGGCATAGACTGCTGGATCAAATTTTGGATTAGAAAACTTTGTTGTCAAATAAAGTCTAAAGTTCGGATCGTAGTCGACATCTTTGTCACCCAATATTAAAAATTTTCGTCCGCTGGCAAACTGTATATTCTTTTGTAAAACATTGTCTATAACTGGGTCAATATAGTCGTCCACATCTTCAAATAACACTGGAATACCATACATAATAGACATTTCTAGTTGTTTAAGAAAGTCGCTGTCGTTGAATGATAAGATTTTTAAATTATTTTTTTGTTCCTTTTTCTTTATCCATGTCCATGCTTGCAATTGGGGATCAATACACAGGGGAAATCGAGAAGACCTAACAGTCAATATTCCATTCTGAACCGAAAGATCGTCTGGTGGTAGTCCCTCTGATGACCATGTTGAGATCTCTACGTCAGTGGTAAGATTTTGGTCAATACGAAACGGAATTTGAATGGGAATTTCATTGTATTTAATGTCCTCCAACCAGTCATCAAACAACATGGTTTTGCGATATTCCCATGAAAACGCACCCGTATATGCTAAGAATGAGGCACATAAAAGACATTGGCCCACTATTACAACCAATTGACGGCCATAATTATCGAAATCAATGCTCCAACGCAATCGTTCTGAGCTCAAACCGCTTATCAATTTGTCGGATGCAATCTGAGCAGAAATAAAAAATCAGTTGTTAAGCTAGATTGTCTATATATTAAAAATTTTGTTAGTGACTAACATAGAACACTGACATACCAATCTTCGTTCGGCTTGCTGCATCATTTCCGTCAACGCTTTCATCTGCTTCATGGATTCAGCATATCTGTAGTTTAGTGAATCTAGTTGTGCTTCTAGCTTCGTAATTTCATTGTTTAAATGATTCAACAATTTTATTTGTTGCTCCTGCTCTTGAACCAAAAAGTCGACTCGTTCTTTTTTAGGTTTTACTTCTTTGTAAACCTCATAGAATCCAATGACGGCTCTTACAAACTTTAAAAGACCAGCACCGGCAACAGAAATTTTTTCCATTTCATCAAGATTTTGGGATTTCATATGATTACGGCACTGGTTAATCTGTTTTCCTGTCAGTGCTTCACAATCCATTTCCATCAAACTTTTAAGAAAGCTGACATCCGACATCATTCCCTTTGCCGATTTCCAGTTGATTTCTTTCATGCCCTTTAATATTGCAACACACTCACATACTACTTGCACTTGAGGCGGTGGTGTAGCAAAAGATCTAATTTCAGTAATTTGTGCTTTATCTAGTTCAGAAAGAGCTCTTCGAGCTTCGTCTAAAGCCGGCAGAGCATCAGCCAAAACTATCTCTGCTTCCTCCTTTTCGACTGCAATTTGTTTTCCCTTTATTTCAACTTCTACAGACTTCTCAGATGCTTCTGTCTTTTTAATATTTGCTTTCGTAGTAGCATCTTCAATTTCTACCAGCATTTGTTCACATTCTTCCGAAGCTCTTGCCACATTATGCTTTTGTTCGGTCACAATAATTCGCAGTTCGTCAATTTGCTTTGAAGCTTCGTCGATTTTATGAATGCCTTCCTTTAGACGATCTCGCTGTGTCGAAATGAACGTATTTTTTTCCTCTATGAAGTGAAAAGAAAGATTTTGTTTTTTAAAGTTTTGAAAAGGGCCCCATTACTCTAACCTAAAAGTTTCAAGTATGTATTGATATAATCCAAATAGTGTTTAGGTGTAACGTAATTATTACGTCTTAATTTCTGTAAATAGTCCTTGGAATAGAGGTGCATTGTACTGTGTACATAAACAACGTGTTTTATTATGCTTTCACGGTGAATAGAAGGAATCTGCAAACGATATATATTAAGTTTGATAATAAAATTTCTATTTTTTTTTTATAAGAAAATAATTTTACTAAAGCGTGTTCGGTAAGAAATAACTTTGCTACGGCAGATAAAGCCTGTTCCGGCCACGGAAACACCCAATCAATGTACGTACTCCCAATTAGTCCAGGGAAATTGCGACATCGATTGCGCAGTGCATCACCAGCAGGTGACATACACATTACAACATGCATATTCTGAGCACATGTTGCTAAGAAATAAGACCACACTGAGTCCCTTAAATATCAAAGATTCAACACTTAATGAAAAATTTTTGAGAAAATATTATTAAATTACTTCGATGCTAAATATCCACTTTCTTCTGCTGCTGTACGACATCCACTGACGATACCATCCTTCTCTTCATCAGTAAAAAGAGCTGGTACCAGACCAACTGTCAAAACATTATTAATTAACTCTAAAAAGCCTTCCTCAACAATCTTTTGGAATAAAAAATTTTAACATTTTATAAGTTAGTTTATGTAAGAAGTTTTTGCACTCACTTGTGCAGCCGTAAACAGAAATACGGTTTTTTTACATTCTACTCCAGCCATTGTATAGAGAACTTTAAGATCATCACGGAAAGATTGTTCATTGTAGCCTCTGGCAACAGTTATTTCATAAACTTCGCATTCAGCAGTAAACGCCGAAAGTCTAGTTATACATTTCTTGCCACTACCACCAACACCCACAAGCAGAACATGTCCTCGATGCATCCTTAATGTCCGATGCACTCTAGTCAAATGCTCTAAGCAATCTTCAAAAAGGACTAGTGCCATTTTACCTTTACGTTCTTGATATTCTTCAAGAATCTTAGAAAAAATTAATTTACTCTTTTAAATTCTATAAATATCAAAGTAGATTTCATATATTACCTCATTAAACAAATGATATACGGCTTCATAATCTAGAAGATCTTCATAAAATCTGGGTTCGGATTCGTTTGCGGCATTTCTGAAATCACCAAATAAACAAGGATCCCTCATTACATGATCTGTCAATGTTACAATAGTTCTTTCATCTTGTTCAAAGTCGACAGCTCCATATTGTTCTAAATTGGCAGCCTCTATATTGAATAATATGATATATATACATATTTTATTTAATCTTAATCAATACAATCAAAACATGCAAATCAATCATAGCAGAGATGGAAAGTTAAGGTTTTTAATATGACAAGTTATATAAATAAGATATAAAGGTGGTTTGGGTGCAATACTTTTAAAGAGTTATTTATAGTTAAAATTGTATTTTAAATTCCAATCAAAAAGTTCATTTATCCAAAAAATGAATTTTCCATCTCTGATTCATTCCATCATCGTTTACCTTCTGCTACTGTTTTTGGATCAACAAATCCATTTTCCACCTCAAAATCAGGACTGAACGTTTCTCTTATCTCATTCTCCACTTGGCGTCTCATCATTTCCAAATCCTTAAAAAACAAATGGTAATAAAAAGTGACTTCAAAATACAAAGAACAAAATAAAAAATTTAATTTTGTCTTTGGTTTAACTAACAACCGTTGGTGGTTTCAGACACAAGTTAAATTTCAAAATCTTCTTGGCTGAAGGTGCATGCGTCTTTGTTGCTATACTCCAACCAACATACTATAGATGAGAACAAGAACTATTAAGTTGTAAACGTAATTGATTGTAATTTTTAAGCAATTGCTGCCAATCACTTAAGTCATCATTAATTCTATTTTGTAAATTGTAAAGGTGTGGTTTTGTCTATACAACGAACATATTTGTGCCCATATATAAATACATAAATTTAAACGCGTCTAATGTTGTCGATGCCAATTCTTCGTTTTTTAGATTTTAAATATGTTTCTTAAATTTATAAATAAATTATATATAATTTATATACATACTAGCTATACCCAGTGTGCTTTGCTACCCTAAAAACAATATAAATATCTCTATTAGTTTCCCAATTATACGAAGTTTTATTTTAATGGACATCGGAGATACCGTAGCCCCAATTGTTAGACTGAAATATGGATAATGGTACTTCCCATGTTCACATGAATGACATAATTCTTCGTGCAAAATTTGAGGATTCTAGATCAAAATATTCACTTCGATGTCAGAGTTGTTAGCACAAAATTTTCGTGCCAAATTTAAACATTTTATCTGTAATAGTTTTCCAGATAAACTATTTTTTGCATTTTATTCATATGGGAGGTGCCACGCCACCTATTTCTAGTTCCCTCATTTTTTGTCCTAAGTATTCATTTCGATACTAAAGCGGGTCCGAAAAATTTAGATGACTCCAGCTGTTATATTTTATCAGGTAATTTAAGGTTTTCTTTATATGGGAGGGGCCATGCCCATTTTATACCCATATGTTCATGTGGATGTCAATGTTGTCCATACAAAATTTAAGGGTTCTAGCTATTGCAGTTTCTGAGATATGTCAAAAAATTTTAAAATAAAAAGTAGCCTATAGTTCCTTCCAGACATACAGGAAGACAATGTGAAAAATTCAGGAAAATCGGTCAGGCCGTTAAGCTGCCTATAAAGTCCAAACATACAAACACAAACTCATTTTATATATATATATATATATATATATATATATATATATATATATATATATATATATATATAGATGTATGTATGTTAGACCGGCTCACTCTGTATGGAAAAAACGTGTTTTTGTTACCCCTCTCAAAATTTACCGCGCTTTGTTTTATGATGATTCCCAAAATATTTTAAGTCTAGCGATGGCCGTTCGTGAGCTGGACCAAATTTAAAAAAGGTACTTTTGCATTATTTTTTTAAAAATTTAGTTTTGTTTTGAAACAATATATTCAATATGAGGTATTGTTTGAAAGGGGTTTTAAAGCCGCGTCCAATGATGTATTAATCATAAAAAACCTTCTCATAATTGTCATATTCTAAAAAATTTAAAATTTTTAGGTTTTTCACTAATATAAAACAATTTTCCAAATTTTGCACACCACTATGCAAAAAAAAACTTTCAAATGATACCACATATTGTATATTTTGTTTAAGAAAAAACTGTAAAAATAACTAAAAAGAGACTTTTTGGTAACCAGTCCATCTCACGAACGGCCATCGATAGACTAAAAATATTTTGGGAACCATCATAAAACAAAACAAAGATTTTTTGGAGCTGGGTAAAATATTGAATTGAACATGAAAAATCGTGTCCTTCATAGGATATTTTCTTGAATACTGTCCAGCTCACGAACGGACAACACTAAACCCAAAATAATTTGGGTAACATCATATTACATAACAGCGAATATTTTGAGGGGGGTCTAATGTATGTACATAATAGAATTGGAGTTTCTCCATATCTGTATTTTTAATGCAAAAACCACCGGTATTTTTAATACAAAAACCACCTGTAATTTTAATACAAAAACCACCTATTTGTGATATTAATAAATTTCAATAGTAATCAGGTATGTGATGAAATTCATTCCTAGAATAGAATATTTAATATTAAGTTTTTGCAGTTTCTCATACAATTCTGTTGTCTGTATACTATTTTGCAAGAAAATAATAAAACATTCTTCTATCAAAACTCATAACACCTGTTCAGATCGCTCGAATTCCATCACATACCGGATTTTTAATATATATTCATGATCTTAATTGGTCTTGTCAATAATGTTTCTCTTACCTTCTCCGATATTAGGCGGTCACAAATAATTCGAGTAAACTCATTGCGCCATACACGTACCAAATCACGGAGAGTTTTAAAATAATTGGAGTGTATAAGTAGCATACCAGCAAAAATTCGAGACAAATCTTTCAAATTAAATATGTAGTGGAATTTCGATGGAGTAGGTGGTAATTCCACAATTACAATCTAAATAAAAGAAAATTAGGAATAGAATATTAACTTATTATACACAGCGTCAATTAGATAAGGATTCCTCAATTACCCTTAAAAAAGTAAAGAAATCAATCTATATCTATACCTACATCTACATTTATATCTATATCTATATCTTTAAGGTTCGTGAAAAAGTCACGTCATTTTATTGAAAAAATAATTTGGAACAGAATTAACACATCTTCCAATATGCCTTTAAAATTGGTGGTAACTGCATTGTTATTTGGTGAGTTTGGCAACTTCTATGAAAAATGATGTCAAAGGAGAAGTTCGTTAAAAATTTTCCTTTATTACCTCAAAATTTTATTTTAATTGCCATTGGAAGTTGTAATTATACTAGGGTCTCATCACTGTTTCGGAAACAACTGACAGGTTAAGAAAGCTCCAAGACATCTCAAAAACTCTCAGAACCTTAAAACCTCATTCCAATTGATTATATTATATACTTAGAAGTTGCTTTTTTCTTTTTTGACAAATATGTAAAAATCTACGAGTTCACCTGGCTATTTCGATAAAAGCTTTTTTATTGTAATTTGGAATATTTATTGATTGTTTTTCAACTTGTAGAACTATAAAATTGCTTACTGATTTCTTTATATAAAACATTGTATGTGATGTGACGTGATATGACAAAAGTTTCTCATGGGGAAATTTGCAATATTATTGAAATTATTAGTCCACAGAGTTTTTGAAATCGGACAAATATTTCGACTATTTAATAACATTGTAATTAAAAATAGCACTCGAATAAGAACTTTTAATTAATTTAATTTTGACATACACAAACGTTCAAACTATTTTTTTAATTGGTCTATGATTAGCCATATGTTGCATCTATACAAAGCAAACATTTGATATACCCAAAAAAATGTATATATTAACTCTAAATATCACCATCCAAACCATTACAAACACACACAAAACTTTTAAATGTACAACAATCATATTACTGACCCTTCTAATGATAATACAAAAACAAATATATTTTGTTTTTACAGATTTAAAATAAAATGAAACTTCAACAACAATTTGAAAAAATTCAAGGAAAAACGTAAATTTTCATTTTGTTTCTGTTTTTATTTGAAATTTGTTTCTATTCTAATTTTTTTCTTTGTTTAAATAAAACTCAAATAAAACGAAAAAATCCAATCGTTTTATATATACATCAAATCCTAGGCCTATATCGGGCCTGTTGTGCGCTCCTTAACCAGTGCCTCAGGTGGGAATCGAACCCACCACCTCCGGTCTACCAGACTAAAACACTAACCTACCGGAGGCCGAATTTGCGTCTTACAGATCTTTATCTTTTCAGTTTTGTCTAAGATAACAATTGTTCCAACAAATATTTTCCGATAAAAGTATATTTAAATATTACACTTTAAAATAATAAAAACTATAAAATGAAAATGCTACTAAAGGTGAAAATATTATTGAAACCTTCGTTGGGGTCTTTAATTTAATAAAATTTTAATTTTTTCAAATCGTTAATGGTACGTACATATGTGGTTAATAAAATGCCCTCACAAATTTTACTCTTTCTGAAACTTTTTTTCAAAAATATATTTTACAGTTTCGCGCAAACAGTTCTACCATATCTTCATTTTTCACACCCCAATCGATATACAAATAGACATTAGTGGAAATGACTGTCATTATCGTATGTATTGCTGGGTAACGAACGGCATTCAAGCATATAATATTTATTAAAGTATTTTTTCTGACTCCTTTACAATTTCTTCTTTGAAACACTTGAGATGTCATAGACTTTTGAAAGTCGTTCCATTCATTATTTTATATAGTAAGAACAAAATATATAGTCGTACTATTTATGGCGTGTAATCGAAAAACATTTAAAAATATAAAATGAAGAAAATAGACTTTACCCAGCAAAAAAAAGAACTTCCAAAGAAGCGAAAAATAAGTAGAATTTACTCCATGGAAGTACTGAAAAAGACCTGAAGAAGTGATGATTTTAACACAGGCTTGCCATAGGAGGGATGTCCTTTTTATTTGATTCCAAATTCACTACTTCTGAAGTCATTCTTATGACGTAATTTTTATGCTCTTTTTTTGGAAGTTACTCGGAACTGAAATTGTATTATTATGGAATACAATTAATTTGACTTAAATAATATTAAAATTAATAAGGGTAATAGATACATTTAAAACAGAAGCACAAAAATAAATTTCTAATCACACAAAAATGTAAGAACAAAAAAATATCTTCAGCATTGAAGAAATAGAATTATTTTCGCTCCTTCGGAAGTCATTAAACATCACTTTCACAGAAGTAAAAAAATCACTTATTGCTACTTTTGAAGTGGTGATAAATGTTATTCTTTTGGAAGTACTTTGCTTTATTTTTGCTGGGTTATTCTATATTCTACTCTAAAATTATTTTTCCAATGCATTTTCCTTTTTGTTCGCTTTCGTGAAATTCATACTTGAAGTGTAAGAGATTTGTTTATATACTTATCGTCACCTAAAACGCAAACGGTCCTAATTAACCAAAAATTTAAAATCGATTTTATTGTTGATTATAATCAAAACAAATGTCCATACAAATGTCCTTATATAAAAATGTCCATATATAAAAAATTATCATAGCGATTGACAGTTTTCATTATTAAACAATTTGTTTATTTATACAAATAAATCGCGTTGATAGAAACAAACTTTTCAATTTAAATAGTTTTTTGCTTCTCTTGTAAAATTTTACAAATATTAGATAGGGCCGTTTGCGTTTTAGTTGACGTTATGTATATGTATACATATGTATATTTTTATGTTTCCTATGAGAAAGATATACTTTTATTTGGCTTTGAATAACTTTCTATTGTAAGATAAACGATTTGGCAAAGATTATGAAAAATTGATGCGATTTGCATATGCAAATCGTTTGCCATAAATTTTCTACTCAACTCAACAACAACAAGAATAAATGGCGAAAATACAATTTCTTTTACATGATCATAATAAAATTACTAAATATGCACTCTACAAGGGTTAACTAAACGCTTCATACGTTTAATTTACATTATTTTTTGTACTATTTTCCAAAATGGCCTCTTTTTTTTTTGTTGATCAAAAGAAAGCTTAAGAGCTTTTTGGCATGTACCCAAAGTATGTAATTATTTTTTAGGTTCATGACTAAAAAAACACCTAAAATAATTACCAAAATAAAAATTTCAAAATATTTAATTTAAACTAACCCCCAATATCTCAATGTCTGGTTATATTTTATCGTAAGGTTAAATTGACAGTTTTCATACAAAAATTATTTTAACCGGCAGAATATCTACCGGTTAAACGATAACCGGAGTTGGTGTTAACGGGGGTAAGAGAAATAAATACAAATTTAACAATAACAATTAATAAGGGTTTTCATTAGTTTATTCGACTTGTTTCATGAAACCCCTGTTTATTACAATATTTGAAAACATTTTAAAGCAATGTGAAGCGAAATTAAAAAATAAAAAAGAAATTATTTAAACCAAAAATTATAAAAAATAAGTGTAATATGTGAATATTCAATTCCATACATTAATGCCAGTAATTTCAATAAATAGATATCTACGAGTGTAATTACCTAGTAGATATCTTTACCGAATCGGTAAATTTAATTTAATATTCTTAAAACTAATCTTACCTATGTATATATTCATGTCTATTATTTACAAAATTATTTCTATAAAAGTAAGAATTTATTAATTTTTTATAAAAATTATTTTCTTTCTTCTGAAATATTAGGAAAGGGAAACAATAAAAGTGGTTGAAATTTGCCTGTACGGTGAAATCTATGTATATTTCTGTATAAGATCAGTGCTGTTGCCGAAAAACACACTGAACATTGGAAAGGGGTTAGTGTCAAATGAATAAGATATATAATAAATAAAGGAGTACCAAGAATCAATGTGTTGGATGTTTGAATGGTGATGGATGTACGGTATCTTATACAAGTAACACCATTGAATTCCCCTTCCATGTCAGGGTATTTTCATGGTTTACTCTGTTCATACCAGACTTATTACAGTGTGGTCACTGTGAGTACCGATTTTCGTTGTTGCTTATTTATTAAAGCATGCAAAAAATGTTCCTTTTTTTGATGAAATTTTTAGAGGTTGTCTCGGATTTTTGCTTTTATCTCCGTTATTTATGGACGGATTTTGCTGATTTTAAATGGGAAACTTCTCGACAGCATGTCTGACAGAATTATTGAAGATTTGGATCCCTGAGGTCTTCAGAAAACTGATTTCAACAGACAGACGGACGACTTAATCGACTTCGCTATCTATAAGGATTCAGACGGATATGGCTTAATCGACTCCGCTATCTATAAGGATTCAAATTATATATACTTCATGGGGTCGGAAAATTATATTTTGGAAATTACAAACGGAATGACGAATGGGAAGGGTATAAAAATTAAATTTGAATTAATAACAAATAAAATTGGCGATTTATTAAACAAGGTTTATTGGAGTCTCAAAAAATACATCATTTTATTAACTGTAAAGATATTAAAAATTGAAATATATGTAATAGAATCTTAAAATGAATTTTTTCAAAGTTATGTGTATAAATGACGGGAAAAAACTAAAAAAAGAAAATAATTATTTTGAAAAATGCAAGGTAAAATTTTTGGAGATTTTAACCCTCATTTTCGCAGAGTAAAGTTTACGAATTTGGTAAATTTAATAAAAATTTCTTGCTGCATTAAAAGTAAATATGTGTTTTACACTTTTATTTAATTTTCGTCCAAAACGGATGACATCTATCGCAAGTATGTATAATTTATAAAACACACTGGAATCATTCAAGAAAAATCACGTAAACCCGGACATGTGGTCCTTTTGACACCAACACCGTCCTCAATAAAATGCTTGGATCATAACAACTAATAACAAATGATATCTTCAAAATATTAAAATATTATTAAAATCAGATTTATACAGTGCAATGTAAGTGAGTAAATTAAAAGAATTTGAGTTAGGTGTAACAATAACACCAACGTCCGCATACGAACGTATGCTATAGTTAAAGGTTAATACTCTATTCGACTATGATATGCCAACTTGCGTATTTGAAAAAATGTCAATAGTTAGGTATATCCCTAATACACATTAGAAAAAAAACTAAAATAGAAATACATGAGAAGTCCAGTTGGTTCACATGACTTGAAATCCTGCATATATGGAAGTTGTATGATTCTACATATTTTCGCATTTTAATTAAAAAGTTATTTTAACTTTGACACTTATGTACATTAGTGAGGCTCCAAGATGAATGTTGCTGATGTTCTCACCGAAAATAAAAATTTAGTTAATTTTAAGATTTCTCAAATTTTTTGTCCTGACGTCAATATTTGGGAAGCTGAATCAAATGATAAAAAGCTCCTTTATTTAGTATCATATGAAAGGTCTTTGAAAGACGATTTCAATGACGTAACACAATTTTGTATATGACTTAAAAATTATTACAAAAGTTGTAATTTTTCGAAAAATTTTTAGTTTTTTAGATTTTTTTTCATAGAATTATTTAATGTAATTAATTGAAATTATTACATTAAAAACCATACATTAATTCACCGAAATGGTTTATTCTGTATTTCGAAATTCGATATGCTTTGTATTCTATTATTTTAAACTCAATTTTCTCCCAGGTATTCTGTTAGTTATATTTATCTAACATACTTAATATGTACATCATCATAGGCGTAATTTCATTAGCTTTTCAATTGTATATAACACTTTATGGTTTCAGTTTAACTAAAATATTAACACAATTTACCCTAAACAGCCACTTACATATTTATATTTATTTATTTTTTTTTTCTGTATAGAAACAATACATTTTAATGTTCGGATTTAAATGTTCGCAAATTTCAACTTTTAACAGAGATGCTGACAAAATCTCAGTACTTTTTAAGATTTCCCTTAATTTGTTGTTTTGGAAAGTGAACTTTAAAAATAAAATATTCATAACATATCGTCGTTGCTCCGACAAAAACAGTCATGTGAAATTTTTCAAAAATGTTTTTATTTTACTATTTATTGCCTTTATTGGCCATACATCCACCCACCAAGTCCTAAGGGGATATCTTTATTTGTTCAGAAATTATCTTAGTATATGATCATATAAAGTACAAGTTTTACGAACAAAATCAGTTATGTGTTATAAAATATTCAAATTTTAAAATATTTTGCTCCAAAATGCTTGAAACAAAATCGGTTATGTGTAGCTTTTATTAAATATTTAATTATAGATCAGAAATGGTGAATCATTCTGGATTATATTTACAACACAATTGTAGCTAGTGGGCCCGAAACATATAACTTCAAATGTAGTTCGCAAAATTACAAAATATAACAGTTTTTTTGCTCTCCCGAAAACTTAAAAAAAAAACACATAACTGTTTCTGTCGAATCAACGACGATATGTATGTACATATGTATGTTTTTTGTACTTTTAACGTTATAGAAAACAAACCTTAAACAGTCGCAGTGTCATCTGGACGATTATATCAGCCATGGGTATTAGTTTTGGATTGAATGTTTCACCATATTGGAGATGACCCTTAAAAATTGATATGTAAATTTGAAGTAGTGATTCATCATTAGGAAAAACAATATTGTAAACGGAGAACATTGATATGAACCGAGGATCAACGTCATTACGTCCACCACCGGCACAACCCATGGCCCCGTAGAATGTTAAATCTTTGAACTTCTTCCAATTTAAATCCTTTTCACGATCGTACATTCCACCGCGTTCAAAGAAAAGCTTTAACAATGCTATTGGCTGTTGGGTTCCATAACTGCAAATATAAATAAATACGAGTTTTTAAATAAGCGAGCGAATTGGTTATACAGTACTTTTCGCTTATAGTCACAACCCTTAATAGCACACAAATTGAGGACTATATCGCTAAAGTGATTATAAACAAGATTTTTTGTTTACAATCAGAGACTGAAAATAACGGGTCCACTTTGTTTTTATAAGGTTAGTTGCTGTGATCATCATTTATAATTGTGTTTTTGCAGTTTATCACTGAGAGAAACCTTTATGATAGATTTTTTTGATAAGTAGTTGAGAGAAACCGAAAAGAAAAACAAAATAACTCGCTACAATTGATCTTTATTTTGTAATCATTTTTTAAAAGGTCTGCTTATGATTTTAATTTTTAAAAGCAAAACAATAAATCGCAAATGTAAATACAATATTAGGACACACATACTTTCTTCAGAAATCATAGCAAACAACAACAATATACTCTCCCACTCTCATATAAGCAAGAGAAAAAAGGAATACAAAAACCAAGTGCCCAGCAGGCCTGCCAGATTTGCCGATTTATCGGCATTTTGCCGATATTTTACCTTCCAAATTGGAAAGTGCCGATTTCCCGATTTTTGCTTCAAAAATGCCGATTTTTTACCCAATCTAACAAATTAACGAATTTATTATAACTTTACATAAGCAAAAATTACATGGAGCTTTTAAAACAATTGGGAAAGGAAAATTTACAGTACGGTAGAACACAATTTGCTCCATCACCAATGTCAATTGGATCGATTATGAAAAGGAAACACAATTTATGTATGAAAATCCTGAATAGGTTCTAAAAGTCTGATCTAAGGGTGCTAAAATTTTAAAATTTTTAAGAAATTTTTTATGGTTTGAAAATAAATTTACACATTTTTGTGGAAAAGTTAAAAAATCTGGAGAAAATTTCCCATTATAAAAATGTACTCAGCAAAATCTTTACCTATCCGGTTTTGCACTAATTTTCTGTGTTTATTAGTCTATTCTATTTGATCGTGCAATTTGGAATGGTTTTAACAAAAATTTAAAAACCAATATTTTTTCAAAAAACTTCTAATATTGACTAGGATTAGAACCATTAACTAATTCCACATTAGACACATGCTTTAGACAATTGGTTACAAATCCTATTGTAAAAATGAATTAATATTGTTGATAACGATCACTCACTGTCAAGTAATGTATGAAATAACTACATCACTCATAACCAAAATTTGCAAATTTTTTACAGGGTAAATGTATAGTAATCCACAAATAATTATGCATTTACATTTTTCTGTAAAAGTGACACAAATTCTAATAGATTTTATTCCAGTAAACCAAAGTTTCGGTGTACCCTTACAAAGAGTTCTTTTATTAGACCTATTCTGAATAAAAATTCCTTGAGTTATGCATGTATGTAAAAAAATATTGTGATTTTTGAATTTATTTGTGTTATGTTTCTTTGGTACAAAATAGTGTTTCTTTCAATTGTCGATTTATTGCCGATTTTTAAAACGTAAGTGCCGATAAATGCTGATTTTTTGGGAAAAAATTGCCGATATTTCTACAAATTTATCTGGCAGCCCTGGTGCCCAGCCAAAAACATATGTATGTAGCAAAACAAAAGTAGTAAGGGTTATACTAAACCAATTAAGTAAAAATCATTTTATAACTGTTATTCTGAGTGATTTATTTAAAAAAACAAAAATAAATCACAATTCAATCACTTTGTTTGCACTTTTAACAACAATTTTTGTTAATATGACCTTGTCCACACTAGGAAACTTTTGTTGAGAAACTTTTTCTTAATTCTCTTTTGAAGTTTCCTTAATGTCCACACATGAAAACTTTTGTTTCAGAAACTACGTAGTAATTGCATTGATTTGTTGTTGTACGAATGAGAAGAATAATAAAACAAAACAAGTTTCCGAGTACAGGAAACTCCGTACCGCGAGAGAGATGAATGATATTCTTTCTCTTTCTCAAAATCAAAAGTTTCCCAAAAAAAGTTTCCTAGTGTGGACCGGCAGTATGCAATCTCAAAGTTAAATTTTTATTGGAATAAATTTCTTCATTTTTTAAAACTTCAAATTTATTTAAAATTTATTTTGTATATTAACAAGATGTACATATACATAGTAAACGAGCAGAAATGCCATGAGTTTTCCTACTTAAATGGTGTAAATATTATTGGACTTATTGGGTTGACTTATATCACGTAAAAAAAACATTTCATAAAATTATAAAATAACGCGTATTATTACAAGAAATTTTTGTTTTGGATGGTAAAAACGTATTATAAAACATTGTCTTTTTGTGCATGACTTTATTGATTTAGCACTTTTTGAATATTGTGTGAATATAAAAAATTTTAAATTCATGTTTATTAAAGAAATAAATATAATTATTATTAATTCATTACATTAAAAAAACATTGTTTATATTATTTAAACAAATCATTAATTTTAGTCTGTTTTATCTTCTATTTTTTCACATTAAAAATTTGAACTTATATCTTGCTTTAAGCTAAAATGTCGCAAAATACTTATCTACTGCATTTAAAATTTCTTTAATCGAAAATCGTTTTTATTCAACAAAAAGTTCTTCATTTGGATCGTTACTAGTTAATTTACGATAATTTTTGAGAAGAAAAATTTGTGTGGCAATATCGTGAAGTTTTTTTTTAATAGCCAGGGATAGATAGCATATAGAATGTAAAAAGTGCTTATATGAAAAAATGGACTATAAAGTAATCTTTTTATATGAAATTGATCGACAGAGACATTTTAATCTAATAAAATTAACAATAGTTGTGTTTTGTTGCTATCAATGAGTGTTAACGCTTAAAGTTAGCAACAAAACGAACATTACCTGACTTGGCATCACTCCACAGAAGAAATCTGCCAAATCTTGAAATTATTTACATTTTCTTAAAAAAGGTTTTTTTATTTGATATTTTTTTTGATTTAAATTTTATTTTAAAATATTTTTTTATTGTTTGACATAAACACATTAATATTTGTATTTTTATTTTTGAATTGGTAGCACTTTTATCGACGTTAAAATTAACTTGTATAATTTTACACGTTAACTCCTAACGTTTATAAATTTTAAATTTATATGAAATTGCCTTTGAACGTTAGCAACAAAACACAACTAATATAACTAATGTGACTATAACAGTGATGTTGTTTCCCAAAGTTTGAATTTTTTTAACTTTTAAAAAATCGTTTCTCTATTAAAGAAGGGGAACTTTTGTTGAAAAGTGCAATTTATAGACACAATTTTGTTATCAACATAGTGCGGACGGACTTGGCTAGATCATCTTAGAATATAATATGAACCCACATTCTCTTAAGTTCAAACTCAAAAAAGATAAATTTAATATAAGCTATATTGTATACTTACTCGTCAACTTGTGGCATATTCATATCATCAATGAAGCAAGCAATTTTCTTTCCCATTGGTGGACCAAATGTGTCTTTTGTACGTTTTTCAACAGCAGCCTCCAGGGTACGTTGGATATCCATTGATGAGGTTCTCGATGAAAAATTAATATTCAAAATAATCTGGATAAGAAGTAAGACATATATATAATAATTAATAATTTCATAATATAAAAAATTCTCGTTAATGATGATTCTATAAGCTCAATACTCCACCGAAAGAGAGAAAGTATTTAGTTTACTAACATTAACGTCTTTGTTGAGATTTCTAAGATATTGAGATATGATTGCAGTTTTCGATGTTCCAGCTTCACCCACCAACAATACAGGCCGTTTAATCTGTGTAGTGAAGATAAATGAGCGTTAATTTTACGGGGCATGGGAAAGTAATGCTTACATAACTATTAAGGTTTAAAATGCTGACAGTTCGTGTACTGTCCACCGTAGGCACTAAAATTTCGCTAAATTTCGTATTTGGATCATGGACATATCGGGGTACAACCCATTCCCAAGCCATCCAACATGAAGTTTCACGGTTATAAAAATATTCGTAAAGTGTCGGTTTACAGGTTGGTAACTGCCCTCCAGATGCCGGTTTATCTTTAGCATCTTGTACACAGGGAAACCCCGAAATACGTTTTATGAACTCATCAAATACAATTTGATCATGCTCAACTAAACAAGCACCCAGTGATGAGTAAATGCATTGTATAAAGCAACATTCAAGTGTATCAGTATCGTATTGAACAGGAGGTGGCGCCCCAAATGACAAATCATCTTGTTTTTCAAAAGATGGCAATAAAGCATCATACATATTGCAGAATTGTACAACCATATTCAGTTCGGTTTGCATAATGACAGTCTTTAGTGGATTTCCTTGGGACGTACCATCTAATCCTTCATGTATAAATGCAATCGCCTGTGATATCAACTTCTCAAACATGTCCTACAATGTTTGTAAAATAACATGATTAAATTTGTGTATTTTATTTATTATACTTACCTGTAACAGTTCTCTCTGCGATTCTGGTCTTGTTAAAATCCACCGTTGCCAGTATGGACTGTATCGTAAATTTTTGGGATCTACAAACACCATCCCGGCTCTAGATACTGTAGCAGGCGATGCATAATTTAAGTTGCCAACCTATGATATCAATATACATACATATGTGCATAAATATATTAGATATAATATTGCGAAAATTTCCTGTATACTACATCTGCCCCCTTTTTACGGTATACGCATAATTGGGACGAACGACGAATTTCGTAAAGCACGACGTATACGTATACAAAATTGAATAGCTGTCTTTTGTTTACCTCATTGTGTTTGTTTTAAAATAAAAATGTTTGCGAAGTGAATTATTTCGATATTACGTAAAAATGTAGATGCTTTTAACTATTTTTAATTCTAGTTTTAATTCTAATTTGAAACTAAATTTTGTGAAGATATTGAGGATTTAAAAATTCACATATTTGTTTTTTAACATTTATTTACTGGGAAAGTAAATGAACAGATCTATCACAAGCACACAAAAAACGAGTAAAATTTAAAATAACACACACTGTGATACAAAAGTGAAGAAAAATAAAATGCAGGGGTTCTCACGTACCAATTCCATTTCTTTTCAGTCCATAGGTACGAATATATTTTTAGTTTTCCCTATCTCTTTGTTAACTTACTTTTTAAAGCAAAATATGTGAAAAAAGAGCAAATAAAAATAGCTCTTTTTCACACCTTTTGCTCTTAAAAACTTACTATATGAAGTGATCGTTAAAAATTAAAAGTATATTCGTACTTTTATATAACGAAATGGAATCGGTATTGAGAACCCCTGCATTTTTCGGGGTATAACTGTGTAATAAGTCGTTTTTGCTACATATTTGTGAAAAAACCGCCTATAACTTTGTTATTTGTTGCTCGATATTATTACTAAACCTTGTGGAAACGATAATTTATTCCAAAAGATAAGATTTGATCGAAATGTTCCGAAAATTTAATGGTACAATTTTTGAAGAAATTAAAAAAATCACATTATTTATCCAATTTTACACTTTTCAATCGATTTCCGGGAGGGTTCCCGTTATTCGGTTCGGCTAAAATTTAACACCAGTTAGTTTTAGACACTACTGAATAAAATAATAAAAGAATAAGACCCATCCAAATAAAATCAATATTTTTTGGGCACCTCTAATGTACATATATATTCGAATATTCCTGATGACGAATATTCGAAATTCGTTGTGCGTCCCAATTGTGCGTATACTATTAATATATTGTCATATCAAATCATATAAATTCAAAAGTGGAACAAGTTTATTCAGGCTATTTTAGTTAACTGTAATGTAATGCAATGCTTAAAATCGATCAATTTTGTCTTTAAGGATTTTAAAATTATTAAATTTAAAAAACTAAACTTAATTATGGTATACGCACAATTGGGACGAACGACCAATTTCGTCCAATACAACGAATGGCTTGACAATGATTCGTTGCGTATATTCGTCGACTGAAACACAATAAATCATTCCGTATTGCGAATTGCTTTAAAATGTCTTCTTTTTTCGGAATTTTCGCCGCACTTCCCGTAATGTAAAATCACAACAAATAATATTTTCAACACCTTTTTAACAAACTATGTACATGAAATTAATAAAAATTTATTAATTTTCAAATGATTTTTTGTTTACATACTGATTGGTGTGACCATATATCTAAAACAAAAAATATTTTATTTGAAAAATTTTTTAATATTTTTTTTTATTTTCATATTGAATGAAAATTATATTAAAAAAAATCGCGTTAAGTTAGTTTATATACCATAAACATAAAAACATGCACAACTTAAGACAAAAAAAAACTTAATTTACAAAAAAATCTAAAACGAAATGTAAGAGGGTCACTCAACTCCAATTTATTCGTCGTTTGTCTGCGTATGAAATAGAAATAAACCTATATCGCACAGTTCGTTACGTATGACGAATTTCGTCATACGCACGATTGTACGTATTTTCATATACTTTAGTGCGTTCTATATCTGAGGACGAAAATTCGTTCCGAAAAATTCGTCGTTCGTCCCAATTGTGCGTATAGCATTAGGTTTCTGTTATAAGCATTAAATTATTGAATTATTAATGAGCAAAAAACCTTATAAAATGATAAATAATCAAAAAATGTTCAACATTTTCTCAAGCTAAGCTTATTTTTTTATTAACAAATTTGAAAAAAAAAATTCCAAATTTTTGTTTTACTGACGGAGATATGAAACTTAAACCCTTGATAATTAGTTTTTTCTGAAAGGGCGTTAAGTTACATTAAGAAATAGTAAAGTTCAACATTTGTAACTAAATTTAAAGCAAAACACAAAGTAATTTTGCAGGCATGAATGATGATTCTTTGTTTTCAAAAAAAAAAAAAAAAAGATTTTCGAAAATTGGATTTTTTGTTAGAAAAAGTTCTAAAACTGTTAAAATAATCTTTAAATCACAAGGATTCGTTAAAATTGCAATTTTTATTTTATATGATGCTAACTTACGACATTTTACAATTTCGAAGTTAATAATTCAAAAGAATTTTAAAATGTTTACGATTTTTAAGGTAATTTTAGAACATAATATTTTCGAATTTCGTTAATAAGGGCTTTGGTTTTAATTGTAGGAGTGTAAAATTTAGCAGGAACATGTATTTTACATCATTATCAATAAAAAAAATCGATTTTATTTTTTTTTTTTTTAACTTAGGGCTATTTGGATTTCATATGACGATACATAGGTTTTAAATAGTGGGAAAAATCCTTATAAACTAGTAAAATAGAATATAAGTCTCTAAAATTTTTCTTGATTCCTCTAATGAACAACAAAATTGCGATGTTACATATTGCATTGAAGACTATCGGTTGTATTCATAAAAAGTTAATTTAGGTTTATTAAACATTATTAAGCAAAATCCACGAAGATGGTATTCATAAACGTCAAATAGCTTAAAATACTTTCAATAAACCAATGACAAATAGAAAAAATTTATTGTACGCTCGACCCTACTTTAAGCCAACAATAAGTTGAATTCTTACAAATTTTGTCTCTGATTAAGCTTTTTTCATTAATTTTAGGTTGAAGACGAAAACTAATCATGTTTTATTCTGAAATGAAATCTAAAAATTATAATTTTAACGTTTACAAATTTGTAAATAAAATTCCAGATAAATTTTAAAAGTTTCTATTTAGGTGAAAAAACTAAAATCTAGGCATTATTGGATTAATAGATGAATATTTGACAGTATTCCAGTTGGTTAATACTATTTTTGGCAATTTGGAAATGCCCGCCTGTCAATCAAATCATGGCCACAATCATTTTATTTGTCTTTTTCATAGTTTATTCGCTAAATATAAAGCCATGAAGTAATTAAGAGTGTAAATTATATTGATTAGTGTTCTATCAATGCAAAATATCTTCTCCGGCAATAAAATGTAGTCTTTAATCAAAGAAATTTATCAGTATTTGCAAAAATTTATTAAAAATTGCTATAAAAATAAGTAAAAATAACAAAATGTGCATAGTGATGTTTATTTTGTCACAAAATATTCGTTATTCGAATACTTTTAATTATAATTAAAAATATATATGTTATATTCATTCATCTGAACTAAAAATATATTTATTGTAGCCATGTATACATTTATTTTTCTTAAAAGTTCGTTCTTATTTTCAAAAATGTGTTATAACCAAAAATATAAAATTAAGAAAACCGACTCAACGAATATTTTATCCTAATTGTTCGGAACACTAACACAGAAAATGACAGCCAAATTGTACAGTGCTGCCAAGTTAAACAATAAACAGCACAATAGTTAATGTAGGTTTATTATTTGTTTATGAATACCACAATTTTAATAATGGTTTTTAAGTCTAAAGTGTACTTTAACTATTGTGTGATTTAAATCTAAAATAAGCATTTTTTATGAATACAACTGTATGATTACAGATTTATATTTTCTATTCGAACTTACTTCAAACAAGAGTGCACAGTAGTTTTCCAATCTAATACGTTCACCATTTGCTAATGTCAGCAGCTTATTATCATCCATAACTGAGTTCATGTTTTCAATCCAAAGCGCATCAACATCTCCATCAAAACAGACATAGCGGCGTTCCTTTGGGGATACATTAAAATGATTGCATTACTTTCCTTTTTTTCCTCTTTATTTTTTTTTTCAATTTCACGTTTTTATTTTTAAACACACTGATGATGTATTACTTAGTGATATGTATTGTTGCTAAATATGTACTTAATTTATGAAATGTTAAGATATATATTTACATAAATATACATATTATATAAACTGATTTCGAATAATTCTCTGCAAATAATGTATAATTATTATTTCCAATTTAACAATTTCCCCCGCTTATATTTTATTGACCCCTAAATCTGCTGATGCTTGTGAGAGGAGCTTCCTTTTGTTATTTAACAAATAAATGAGTGAACATAAATGAGGCACTGAAAAAATTATGATTATGCATCAATATTATTACACTAATGCACTTTGACTTTGTAATTGTGGGCGGTGATCTTTTTTTACCGTGAACACATTCATACGTCACCTTACTCATTAGAGTGTACAGAAAAACAATTTTTTTGTAATCTGATATAGGCACACCTCTCAAACGTTCAAATTATTGTACTGAATACAGGAAAAATAAAAACAACTTGGATCTCAAATTCTCCAAAAAAAAAAAAAAAAATAATCATAAGACCTTAATTAGATAAGTTTTGAGAACCTTTCGATAAAATTGAATAAACTTTTTTTTTAAGAAAGTTGTTGATAAGGATTTTCAATTTTCATCAGCGCGCTGCCCCGTGGAACACTATTTCTTCAAAATAGTGTTCCACGGGGCACCCTATTACCTATGCATGATATAGACACAATAGGGTATGTATATGTTTTTTTAAATCGTTCGAAGGGTGGCAGTAGTATGCTTATCAAAATAGATAAATTGTAAAATTGATGTCAATGTTGTTTTTTTATCTGTTGTTGCACTCCGATGTCTATTGGGATTTTGTCTGTATGGTTTTACAGTTTATGTAAGCTTGGATTTTAGATAAGAGGAAAAAGAAAAAAATACAATTCTCTCTTGGGATCTTAATGTTAAAGGTTTTAACGCACAGTGAATCGTATATTACACGTATACGTGTAAATATATAATAGTTGGTTGATAGTGTTGTCATGGTGATGATGGTCTATACACCTGAATGATTTTTACTTGTAGATATGGGAATACATGTAGTTGGTTTAGAATTTATTAGTTAAACTATTCCTTCAAACATTTTCTATTGCGGAAGTTACCCGTGTAAAACGCCAGCGATATTGCAGATGTATACGAATTCTTTTCACTGGACGGGAAGAACTGATGCCGAGCTAGCTGACTTCTAATAGTAACGCCAAACACTCTTCTAGATGTCACTAGGAAGTAACGTCTTGGAGTGACTTCCTAGTATTAACTAGAAGTATCCCTACTTATATTCTAGAAGATGAGGTTTCTGTTCTTCTAGTTATACATTCGCAAGGCATGGGGGGGGGGAGGGGTAATGATTACACAAAGTAGTTAATTACAATTGTAATTGAAGTTTTGCCAATTACAATTACTTGTAATTGTAATGCTTCAATACAATTGCTTCAAATGGAATTGTAATTGGTTGTTGTTCATTACACATTACAAGTAATTGTAATTGGCCTTGTAATTAATTAATTTGTGTAATTACAAGTACTTGTAATTGTAAATTCTTCAACAAATAATTGTAATTGGCAAAACTTCAATTACAATTACATATAATTGGTAATGCTTCAATTACAATTGCTTCAAATAAAATTGTAATTGAATATGTAGTACACAAAAAGATAACAATTCGGACACAATGTATTTTGTTATTGTAAATTTCATTTTATAAAATTGCGTCCTCACATGACAATCGTTTAGAAGTCTTTTTTAAGTGACGTCTGAGGTGATCCGCAATAGTATTGTCTTATAAATGTTTGAAGGGATGTTTATAATACATAGATAAACCAAGTGACAGAACCTTCACTTTCTACATTGTCCTCATTTGTCTAAACTAAATATGTTGAAGGTTTTTTTTTGAACTGGGATTAACATTGTTTAGCAAAACATTATAACCACTTCTATTTGAATTTTCAACAAAAAAGTGGTTAAACATAAACATATTTTAAGATAGATCTCCCAAAAGTTTTAAAATTGGTTTAAAAAAGTTTTCAAAAAACTGAAGTTGGAGTTTCGAAACTTTTAGGACCATAGTTGAGAATAGGTTTACGTTATCTTATAGAGACAGAAACTCATGCCCGAGTAATAATAGATATGTATTGTTTTATTGGAATAGTTTAAAAAAAATTGTTTATTTTTGTCCCATTACGAATTCTAGTGCTGAAAGACCGGTAAATGGCATGGGGAATATTAAAATACAGAAGTTTTTTTAAATACATACATCATGTTCAAGTGGTCTATTCATTTCTCGAAAAATGTTTGAGAATAAACCGTCAACCCAATCGCGCGTATTTGGATCCAGATAACCATACAATTCTATGACGGAACATGCCTGTAAATGCAATAATAAAATACTTAATAAATTGTTATGAAAAATCCTCAGAACATACAAAAAACTTATTAAGAGTTTTAAAATGTGCCTCCGTAGTAAGTGATGCTTTTTAGGATAATTGGAAAAGGAATTTACAAACTAACTAACTAACTAACTAACTAACTAACTAACTAACTAACTAACTAACTAACTAACTAACTAACTAACTAACTAACTAACTAACTAACTAACTAACTAACTAACTAACTAACTAACTAACTAACTAACTAACTAACTAACTAACTAACTAACTACTAACTAACTAACTAACTAACTAACTAACTAACTAACTAACTAACTAACTAACTAACTAACTAACTAACTAACTAACTACTAACTACTAACTAACTAACTAACTAACTACTAACTAACTAACTAACTAACTAACTAACTAACTAACTAACTAACTAACTAACTAACTAACTAACTAACTAACTAACTAACTAACTAACTAACTAACTAACTAACTAACTAACTAACTAACTAACTAACTAACTAACTAACTAACTAACTAACTAACTAACTAACTAACTAACTAACTAGCTAGCTAACTAAATAACTAATTAACTAACTAGTAACTAACTAACTAACTGACTACCTAACTAACTTTTAGCTTTTCTGTGTTATTTCAAAAATTAAATTAACGTTTTCATTTTCATTACGGTTTTAGAGGTAAACTCTACAACTTGCCAATAATCCAAACCTCTATAATTCGAATTTATTTTTCTATTCTCTCCAATTACAGTTATGTAAATAAAAACACTACTATTATTTACACAATCTGCTAAATTATTTTAATTCCTATTGTTTTTCACATCTAACAAATAATATTAACACATCCTAAAATGCATAAAAAAACAAAGATAAAATCCGGTCATTCTTGAGTTCTCCCCTACATGTAGGCTTCTCCACCTACAATATACCATGCTCTATTTACCTTAGGGTTAAGTGTAATGCATTTTGTTGGGAGACCCATAAAGGTTTGGGCCTTAATTAGTGTATTTATGACAACTGTTTTGCCACCACCTGTTGGGCCAACAATCATAGTGGAATGTCGGGTCATCATTGTTTCATACATCTGAACCACTTTGTCTTCCTGTAACACAAAAAAAAAAAAGAAAGTAGACATGAACTGAGTAAAAAAATTGTTGAAAATGTTTGAAGAAAAAATAATAATATGGACACACAATTACAAGTGTTAAAAGCAGAAGCAATTAACACAAAGGGACAACTCTCACAACACAACAGATTGGTTGCAAAACAAAAATAAAAGAAGATTTCATGGGAGAAATGGGACGTTGGTGTTAAAATGTTAAAAGATCAAGTACATTTATAAAATGGAAATGTTTTATCTTCAGATTTTATGGATGTGTTTATGATTCTTTGAGGTGTAGGTGATGTTGTATTGTTATTGTTTATTCAAAAGAAGAGATGATATTTTTAGTTTATTTTTGATGTTTTTTTTTTAATGATGCACTACATGAAATTATGTACATTAATATTTTGTCCTTTAAGTTTCTTCGTTAGTTTTTTAGTTTTTTTTTTCATTTTTTCCTTTCCTTTTAAAGTACAATTTAGAATGTGTCAAAGTGTCTACGCCTGTGATGCACAAAAAGGATTTCCATTTTTTTCTTTCGCATTGTACTAGTGTTGTTATTGTTGCTGTTTTAAATTTATCGTAAAATGTCAGGGATAATAATTGCAAGATTATGACATTGTTGTTAACAGCACCAACATTACAGGACGACAACTACTACATCTGCATCGATTGCAAATACTCATCACAAAAATGTGTTTATATGAAGAATTGTGTACCAGTAGTTCGACAAAGAGTCAATGCACACGTAAGAGACAGTCGTTTACACTAAATAAAAATAAAAGTTAATTTCGGAAGGTGATCCACTATATGGAAAATAAATAATAATATCTTAGGAGTTAAAGGGGGCCTAAATTAATTATGGAGCTACCTCACTACCAAGTAGCCGGTATTAACTCTATTACTGCCTATAACTCTATAATGCATAATTAACATATTTATGACTGTATTCTGGGGAACGCTTGTATAGGGGCTATACGAACACATAGACCGATTTCGCTATGTCCGTCTGTCTGTGTAAAACACTCTCACATTAAAACTAAGCAAAGGAAATCAACCAAATTCACCCAAAATATTTATTAATATCCTAAGCAGTTTGCAGTATTATCAGCAAAATCGGTTCACAACGTAAAAAGTTATGAGTAAAACTTTCAGACTACCTCGAAAAAAATTACGTTTTTTTTAACATTCTTTTGAAGTTTTCTCAGAAACTACCAAAGATATTTCGATGAATTTTGTCACACATTAATTTTTTATGCCTGTGATCAATTATGTTCAAGATCTTTACAATCGCTCGAATATTTCCCATAGCCCCCATACAAACGTATATATTCCCGGAAATTAGTTTATCGTTAATAACTCCCTCAAATATATCGGTATCAACACAAAATTTTGTACATGCAAATATAATATGAACAGATATCATACATTCAACGTAGATCTCAGTCGGTCCACAATTGGTCATAGCTCCCATATAAGGTCCACTTCCGAAAATCACCTAAACGTACATATTTCATTGATGAATATAGCTATTGTGATAAAATTCGAGTTAAATATGTTTTGTGTACATACAAATCAATCTACCAAATTTTTTACGGATCGGTCTATTATTGGTCATAGCTCCCATATAAGGCCCACTTCCGAAAATCATTTAAAAGCTCATATTTCATTGTCAAATAAAGCTATCTTGAAAAATTCGTCACAAATATGTTTAGTCTACATATGAATCACTCTACGAAATTTTTTCCGGATAGGCCCATTATTCGTCATAGCTCCCATATAAGGCCCACTTCCGAAAATCACTTAAAAACACATATTTCATTGTCAACTAAAGCTATCGTGATAAAATTCGACAAAAATATGTTTTGCGTACATTCAAATCATTCCACAAAATTTTTTACGGATCGGTCCAATATTGGTCATATATCCCATATAAAGCCCACTTCCGAAAATCACTTAAAAGCACATTGTCAAATAAAGCTATCTTGATAAAATTCGACACAAATATGTTTTGTCTTTATATGAGTCGCTCTACGAATTTTTTTCCGGATAGGCTCATAATTGGTCATAACTCCCATATAAAGTCCACTTCCGAAAATCACTTAAACGCATATATTTCATTAAATTCTAAAACTATAAGGATAAAATTCGACTTGAATATATTTTGTGTGCATATAAATCATTCTACCACTTTTTTCCCGGATTGGTCCATTATTGGTCATAGCATAGGGACTTATATGGCCCACTTCCGAAAAAGACTTAAACGCACATATTTAATTGTTAAATAAAGTTATCTAGATAAAATTCGGCACAAATATGTTTTATCTTTATATGAATCACTCTTCCAAAATTTTCCGGATTGGTCCATATATATTAATAGCTGCTATATAAGGTCCACTTCAAAAAAATTACTTAAGCGCACATATTTCATTATCAAATAAAGATATCTTGATAAAATTCGACAAAAATATGTTTTTTGTAGCTCGTATACATATAAAGCACTTCCGAAAATCACCTAAACGCACATATTTCATTAATTAGTAAATCTATTATAGTAAAATTCGAATTGAATTTTTTTTGGCATATAAATCATTATACGAAATTTTTTCCTTATCGGTCGATAATTGGTCACAATTCCCATATAAGGACCATTTCCGAAAATTACTCAAATGCACATTGACAATCAAAGTTATCGGGATAAAATTCGACATAAATGTGTATTTTGTATATATAAATCATTCTACGGAATTAATATACATTTTTCTCGACCTTATTAAAATTAGTTTGACATATGCATTAATGTTAGTACCCTCAATACGGAAACAAAAATGTTGCCAAGTTATCTGAAAATTAGATATTTAAATGAGTTTTAATAAAAAGTAGCTTGCTGGTGGAGGGTATTTAAGATTGGGCATAGCCGAATATAGTACTCTAACTTGTTTAGAGATAAACTTCTACGTATGAATTATGTAACCCGACTGCAATAGCTGTCCATTAGACTAGCTACTTGGGCACACTTGACTCTCTCTTAAGACACGTCAACAGCTAGCAAAGTAACTCGTAAAAGAGCTAGTAATGTGACTGACTGCCGAGAACCCATTTGAACATTACCGTCCACTGACTAGCTTTTTACTTTCTCTTTGTAGGCTATAGAGTGACGATTTTCATCCTCATAGGACAAGCCCATGTTAAAATGGTTAGTCCCTGTGTGGTCAGGTGGCTAGAGGCCACCATAAGTGGGAGGTAAAGAGGTTAGTTTGGCACTATCCTGCCGAACTGCTGGGGTATGTACATATGTCTGCAAGGAAAAAACAATAAGCAGAAATATAAAATGTTCCATTTCAATGCCGGAAAGACTTAGAAAAATGTTTCTATGTAATATTGGTGCAAGTAGTTGGTACTACTGTACTTTTTGCTGCTTTTGTTGTAATTGTTGAGATGAACATTGTGTTGTCCATTTCTTGAAAGAAAACAGCAGGAAAAATAACAACAAGCTAAACATCGATGATATAGGAAAATTGGTTTTTCTTTTAAATATTCTTTAACAAGAATAGTTTTTTGGTTAAAATGAATTTAAAAAGTAAATCTCACCTGATCTGCCAATAGAATGAATCCGTCGTTCACAAGACAATGGCGTACAGCTGCATTAAAATCTGGATAACCAACTCGAGGACAATCGATACCCGGAAATAAATCCTGATAATTTTTGTTTACCAATGCATGAATATTGTAAAACAAATATTTTTGTGAATAAAATATGCCATTTTTAAGCTATTAAACGATAGTACTGGTATTTTTTCTTACCTTAATAAGTCCTAAAAATAATGGTACATCCTCAAAAACAAATTTTGGAAAATTCATGTCTCGAAGAACTCGCATTAATACGACAGCCTCAGGCAAATCGTTGGATTGACGTTTCATTACACCAGCCATGCGCAAAACCGAATTTAAAGAGCGTAAACCCCAATCGTAATGGCACTGTTTAGATAACTGTTCCTGGGCGAGAGCATATAAAACAGTCATCTTCTTTGCCAAAATCTAGAATAAATATAGATCAGTTTACGGTTTAATTTATGAAATTCTGTGCTACAAATTCAGTATTTACCTTGGCCGTTAGAAATCCATCAGAGAACAACGATATTAAACAAATTAATTCCAAATCTGGCTTTATACATGTTACTGGTCTGAAAAGAGCTTTAACGGACTCGGGTAATTCTGTGCGACCCGCATATCCAGGATTCATTGTAACAAATATACCAACTTTACGGTCAATTTTGATTTCACAACCTTCAAACTGAATACACAGAAAAAATTATTGGCAGTTTATTTTTAATAAACTTCTTTAATATTTATAAAAACTATTTTATATTTGTCTTAATTATCTCGTTATTAAACCCCTTAGTTTAAAAATATCATTAAGTTTTTAATTGATTCAATAAATTTTTTAATTGACTGAAAACATTTTTTTATATTTAATTTTAATATTCTTTTTTTTTTTTTTTTTGTTTTCTAAAATTAAATTTCAACTTTCAAAAAGACACAGAAAAACGCAAAAAAAACACGTGAACTTAATTTTCGGTCGTAGTATCTAGTGGCATACTCCGTTTTGAAAAATTGTGTAAAAATCGGGACACATTGCATTTTAAAGTTTAAACTGTTTCTGTGGTGATTTTCATATTCATATTTTAAAACGCAATATCTCCCGATTTCGAACCAACTTTTCAAAATGGATTCCACTGCCACTAGATTCTACGACACAAAATTAAGCTAAGCTGTCTGTCTAGCTCTGTTTCTTTTTGACATACTTACAGTGTAATGAATAATATTTTATTAATAAATCACTTTATTTGTTTTAACGTGACAACAATGTGATATATTTGTAAATGTTCAACACACTGTTAAGGGTAAGATACTTCATTAAAATTTTTTAGTATTCAATTACTTTGATTGTTTCAATCATTAACATAATGCATTTCTTAATAAATTTCTTCCAACTATTTAATTATTTGATTAATAAATTAATTAAAAGTTAAATTATTCAAAATCGATATCAAAATCGTTTTTTCTTTCATTGTAACAATTAGTAAATCAATAAAGTATACCATTGAACTATATCAATATATATTTTCTAGTTATCACACATTGAAACAATCACGAAATTCGATGGACTAGATCCAATTTTGCAAGGTTGCTTTAAGAATCTAATTTAATTTTTAAATATTTTGTTTATATAGGGCAATACCATAAATTTCCAATACTCACAACAAATCTTTGTAATTTTCGTATTAAAGCATTACGAATGGTCTGAAGTTGTGTTGAAATTACACTCAATACTGAAATGTCAATGCGATTAAACTCATCAAAACAGCCCCATGCTCCACATTGCGCAAGTCCGGATAAAATTGTACCCACTGCATGGAAATCCATTCCTTCACCACAATTTGTTACAACACATAGAAGAGCCATAGCTTTGGCTAAATCTTTAGTTGTTTCAGTTTTGCCAGTACCAGCTGGACCAGCAGGAGCGCCGCCCAAATTCATAAGTAAAGCCTGTGTTATGGTCAAGTAAATACGATCGGTGAGGGGTGTAATAACCAGGCGGGAATTCAAGCCCAAATATTCATAGCCATAATCGAATCGTCCAGAGCATTGAATAACAAATAAATTGTCATAAAGCTTTAACCAATAGAACCTCAGTTGGCTCTCCCAACTAAATTCGCCTACATCCAGAACATTATCTCTAACAAATGCCTCAATAATATCTCTAGCATGAACATCTATAGTTGCAATAGTTTTGAATTTTTTCCGATCATTAGAGCTAAGATCTGATCGCACTTTCAATACTAGTTCGTCCATTTGGTAATTTTGTTTGTTCAAAAAGTCCTTCATGGCTCTTAGGTTTCCAAAGTTTTTAGCTTGATTAAATACTTCTTCTACTTCTGCCGTCCACCACACCTGACTAGCCACCAGTCCAACCATGCTTTGATATTTCATCAGCCAATCAGGTCTAATTGCAAAAAAAAAAAATCAAGAAATACATTGAAATATATTGTAGTTTGCACAAGTATAATGTTTAAATATTAAATGAATCAATTTTATGCCATGAAATATATAGTATGTTATATAAGTGATTTCATTACATTTTATGATGAAAAAACTGTATCTTGTTAAAAAATTATACACAGATACACATCTACACACTCGAGTTTATAGTGTTAATAAAAACCACTGTGGTGGCCAGCAATGTACTCAACAATATCCTCGTTAGTATATGCATGGATCTACGTATATATATTCATACATATTTATATGTATGTAAGTATATTAGGGACGTCTCAAAATGGATGTTGTCGATGTTCCCGAAGAGAATAAAAATTTAATTTATGCTAGGTTACTGTTTCTCAAAAATTTTCTTCTGGCTTTAATATTTGAGAAACTGAATCAAAGTCCCCTTTTTTCACTATATTGTTTTTTTTTTCAAAGAACAATAGGCTAGTCGTATACGCTGAATTACCATTATGTTTTTGGATATTAAAGTTTTTCATTAGCTTCCCATTACTTTAAACCTAAAGAGAGCAATTGGATTCATTTACTTATTACTCGGCGTAACTCAAAATACGAGTTTTTTGAACTAAGTGTATGTATTTTATTTAAATTTTTCAAAACCTATTTTTCCTTGATGTGTTACCGATTTAATGTACATATACATATGTATCGAAATACACAAAATTTTATAAACTTTTCATTCATATGCATTACTTTAGGATTTTGGAGGATTCAATCTAGAATTTGAAATTCTAGAAAACAGTTTTGGTAAAATTAAATGAGGTTGTAATAAGTATTATTTTACCGAAAAATTATAAATTTTTTTATAATAAATTTCTAAAATTTTTTGGACATGGGCCTCTCAAAGAAATTTGACATAATATTAATATTATAGTCATTCCTTAGATAAGTAATTGGAAAACCCTCAAAAGGGTCTTTCTAATTCTTTGGACCAGCTAACCAAATATTACCTCAACACAAAATTTTTGAGAATCGGTAGAATGAACTAAATTTTTATGTTTGATGGGAACATTAGTACCGTATTTTTTGTCCATAAAAACGGGTCTATCCTAATGTATATGCCTTTGTACATCCATGTGTATGGAAGTATGTGTGTATATGTTTCATCATAATCATCATCGTCATGATTGTTATTATTGCCAACGACAGTGTTATATTGGTCTTGCGGTTAATCGATGGCAATAAAAAGATAAATCGCTTATAACGACAAAATTATTCATTGTAAGCCATAATAACAAAAAGTTGTTGCAACAACATCAGTATTAAAAGTATCAGCAGTATTGGCAGATAACAACAACTACAACAAGAACAGCCGCCACCACACTTAATGTTTTCAGCATAATTTACAATCATACACAGATTTATGACGTAGTAGATACATATGTATGTACATTAGAGTCATTTTTGGAGAGGCAAAATACCACAGCACTACTTTATAGACAATACTGTCCTGATATTATAAATCTATTTTTGTAACCAATCTGGTGAAAAGACTTCCAGCACCGAAAGCAAATTTTTGAAATGCTTTTGTTCGTAATTTTTCTAAAATTATTTTAATTATATTTTTAATTATATAAAATATTTAATACTATCGCGATTAAATAGAAAATCCATAACAATGTTTTAAATAACAACTTTCTCTTTAAGAAAGTGTAAAAATGCAAAAGTGTTGCAAAAATAATTGTTGTTCGTTCTCGTATAGAAAAAAAATATTTATACAAAACTTCACAGCGTTTGGTGTGGGAACTTTTTTCACGATCGCGACCTTCGTGCAGTACAAGGTCATGCTATCGTATTTTTGATATTAGCAGAAATTGAAAAAAAGTTATGAACCTATTGTATATATGTATACAGAAATGGAGTACATGATTAATTTAGGTAATCCCAAAACTACACCCCTGTGAACATTATTGAAGTACAGTACATGATCCTATAGTTGTAGTAGTCCTATGTATTGCAGGTTAATTTTTTGAAAATAGCATGGTCCATGTAGATAAGACAATGTTGTTAAAGATAAAATGGATCTTGTACACAAATATTTGTATCCAAACAGGTACAAAACATTTATATCCAATGACAATCAACAAAGTTATTGACAATTTCCTAAGCCATTTTTGAATTCAGAACACTCATTCGTTCTGACTTCAATATTTTAACAAATTTAAAATTTGTAATTAACAGAGATGGGGGTAGTGCACTAATTTTTAACTATCACTAATAATTAGTGGTAGTTCAAAATTATTCACTACTTTTATTTAAGTTAAGTGATGAATTGAAAAATATAAGCCTCACTCAACAATAGTGATAGTGATATTTAAAATGTTTAACTAAAAATATTTTAAAAATAGTTAAAATATTTGTTTTTACAGCCTAGTGAAATATTTTTTCTACACTAAATTATTAGTTCAAAAAATATTCCTGCACTATTTTTTTTTATTTACAAAGTTTCCAAGCTATTGCTTAATAAAAATATCCAGTAGTCACATCATTTTGGCAACGCGGCTGAAGTGGCAATCGAGATACATAATCGACCTATTAATTTATTTCTACGAGGATAGTCCACCATTCCGTTAAAAGAAAATAATCGTTCTACTGGAACAGTTTTGGAATTCAGGTTCAGTTTTGGAATTAATTTCTTTTTAAAGCATGAAATGTTTTTGGAGTAACTGCTTCTGTAGGGTCCATTATAGTGTCATCTCTATCAAAATCTGTATTTTCCATATTAATAGATGTATCTTTTAAAAAAATTAGTCATTTATTGTCGCATAAATTCTTTAATTTTCATTTAAGAAAATTATTGCAGCCTTTTGTTAGTGATTGTTCAAATTTTTAACTATTTGAGTGTAGTGCTTTTTTCTACACTATCGCTCAATTGAGTTATAGTTAAAAAAATAAAATTATCACTAAAAAATATTAATGCTAAAAATATAAGTTTCACTACCACTAAGAGCGGGTTTTTGAGATGGCAATCAAATACCAATTATAAGATTAAATAAATTTAATTTTATGTTAATCCCCTGTGATATTTTTGAGTACAAGATTAAACTTCGCAGTGTTGCCATACAAAACAACAGAAAACGTCACTGTTTGTTATCAAAACAATGCATATTTTATAAAAAAGAAGTAGATCATTGTAAATTTAATATGAAAATTAATGAAAACTTAAAGTAAAAGCAAAAAATGTACTTTGAAGTGTTCATAATTTATACTAATCAATAAATAGAATATTTTAATGTTTATATAAAAATTGTATTAATTTTACATCAGCTGTTTACACTTTTGCATTTCGTGCTTAAGTTTAAACCACCTCCATTGGGCGCTTAAACTTGCAAACAAAATTAACTAATTGAGTACTCAAAAACATCTTTCGAGGATTAATTTTAATTTAATCGCTAATCTTTCACCTAAAGATTGGCCCTAAGCTGATGCAAATTAGTGAAAATATTTAGTGCTAGTGAAATATTGATTTAACTAAATATTTAGGACACTACCTCCATCTCTGGTAATTAAGTTAAAAATGTTATTTAAAATATATGTAAATAAATATGTATACTTGTATAATATTTCAATATTTTTTGCATACCTTGATATTTCGAGGTCTGTTCCGTAATCGTAAATAGCTTTTTTAGACAAATAACGATTCGAGCGGCGCATTTCATCCAATACATCGTTCATCCAATTTTCTACACGACCCTGGATTCGAACTACAAATAAACAGGAAACATATGAATGTATGTATGTATGTATGTATGTATGTATGTATGTATGTATGTATGTATGTATGTATGTATGTATGTATGTATGTATGTATGTATGTATGTATGTATGTATGTATGTATGTATGTATGTATGTATGTATGTATGTATGTATGTATGTATGTATGTATGTATGTATGTATGTATGTATGTATGTATGTATGTATGTATGTATGTATGTATGCGCTATATATTACAGCCTTCATGAAGGAGTTAAATAATACATATCTTAAAAAAATACAAAAATACCATCAAAAACTAAAATATTAGCTCCGTTTTATAATATACATATATATACATATATATATATATATATACATTTATGTGCCTCCAACAAAAAAATTTTCATAAAATAATTATTTTAAATAAGGTTTACTTTTATAAATTTTCAGAACATTAAATTCATTTTTTCAATCCTGAGTTACTGCATTAAGCCCCCGACTACTCTATCTATAAGGAGTCAGAATATATCGCCCTACAGGATTGGCATAATCCAAAAAGTCGTTTCAAGAAAAATGGATATGAATATTTAATGACATTTAACTATTTTTTTAATAACTTTTAAACAAATCAAGGGATTTTAAAAATCCAGATTCAGATAGTTGAGGTTAATATGTTTCTCATCTAATTTAAAATTAAATTTTTAGTTGTCTAATATTCACGAAAACGTTGTTTTTAGTTTTTACGTTTACAAAAAATCGATTTCACATCGAAAATAATAGACATAGTTGAAATTTGATGAATCTATATGAAAGATTTTAGTATGTCGCATGTTTTGTAGACCTCAGTTCAAGAAACCCGAATTTTGAATTATGCCAGTCTTATAGCGATATGTAGGTACATATATTGTAGAAATTACAAGCGCAATTTTTACTAACGATACACTTAAAACTTATTTCATTTTTAATTTTAAAGTTTAATACATGAAAGAGTATATTTTTAGTTGTTAAAAACTATGAAATTGAAAAATCCCTACAATTTGACAATAGTAAAAAATCTTTCCCTTTTTCCCTACACGTGAAATTTTTGAAAAAAATCCCTACAAAAAGGGAAAAATCCCTACACTTGGCATCACTGCCTTCATTAGTCATACATCCACTCACCAAATCCTGTGAAGATATCTTTATTTGTTTAGAAATTATCATGGTATTTGATCATATAAAGTATAAGTTTTACAAAAGAAATGGCGAATCATTCTGGAATATATTTACAAATGGGCCTAGGTTCGCACGAAACATATAACATCAAATGAAATTCGGTTAAATGACGTATGAGAGCGTGAATGACGAATAATTGCATTGTGTTAACGGAGTAATAGACTACACCAGCCGGCTTGGAAAACATGCATCTTCCATTTGCACACACACAAACATTGTTCGTTCAAGCACATATTTTTTTTCATATTTTTGAATTTGGGATAATTTTATAAAAATAAACTATACAAACGGGTTGACAAAAATTCAATAGATTTGTAAACCTAAATATCTCTTAAAGCAAAAGAAATAACCCACACATATAAATATTGTAGTATATCTTCTTAATGAGTAGGTATATTTTAAATTTAGCTCAATCAGATCATAAATGGATTTTTGGGGATTTAAAACAAAATTTTATACCCGAGGTGATCAATTTTTAGGGGCTACCCATTGGGCCCAATTCTACCCTCGATAACCTAAACTGTCAATCAACTCGACATGTTTTCATTGCGATATATCTAATAGTTCCAGAGATAATGAGTTATTTCCAAAATAAAAGTTTCTAAATTTAACGGTGTCAATAATGATTGAAATTATATGCAAATTGTGTCAATAGTCGGGGAGTGAAAGAACACTACTAATAATAAGCAAACTAATTTTCTGAAATGGGATTTATAAATTGAGGTGCAATTATATCCCGATCCCCACAAATTTGTATATGGTTTGATTTTGTTCCATACCACCTTATTATCGACAATAACGACGAAAACATCAACAAATGTAACATAAAAAAACACTTTTCTGTTCGCCATTATTACTGCTTTTCTGTTTCCTGTATCCGTTTCTTTATTTTTTTAATTTGAAAAGATTTAAATCTTCTCATTCGTAATATATAAATTGCTTAAAAAGGCAAGAAACAACAAAAATGGAAAAAATTAACCGGAAGTTTCAAAATTTTCAATTGTTAACTGGTCAAACGTTTGATTTTAATGATTATGATTTGTTTTATTTTTGGTCTTTTCGTAAATTGTCCAATTAATGGTTCACTACACTTAACAATTGGATACAAAAGAAGTCATATAATTGAATTGTTCTCATTATTATTACTGTTATTATTAAATTGTTCTAATAATTTTTGATTGATTATTAAATACGCCATTAGCAATTAGGTGAATATTATAAATTGTTGTTATTAATGATTTAAATTCAAATACAAACCAAAGATTTATATACATATGTATTTATTTGTATACATATGTACCCTG